GATTATGAGGCTGCGGTGACAATCTGTCACGGCATCTGAGGAGTGGAAACGCCGCCACTTGGAAGAAAACGAGAGGTTTGGGAGGAATGCGTTTGTGGACGGTGATGAGACGGGGTCAACTGGGGGAGACGAAGGTTTTTCCCTTTTTGTTTTCAGTGTCAGAATATATGGTGGGAGTAAAGTGAAGTTATCTAGCCGCAACTCACCTCCAACTGGTGCGGAACGATGTACGAAAACCAGCGGACTCCCAAAATGCTTAGTAAAGAACCAGTTTTTTCCGAGGGGTAGAAGGGAATTGCAGAACATACACCGTCAAGATCTTCGCTCAAATGCAATCCACCTTCCACGTGACAAGCGAGCGCATCTTGAGGAGGCTCTTGGATCGTAGAATCTGTTGCACCCTCAGCCACGTCACCTCCACCACACCACACCACAACATCCAATCCAACCAACCCATGTCAGCCAGTCCTTCCATCAGGGGGGAGCTGTTTTGGTCGCACGCACACATCCTCATCCGTTTCGCTGCAAGCAGTTGTGAGTCGTGACTGCTGCTCGGGAATGCACGCATCCCCACCCCACGGTCCCACCCCACCAAACAAACCATTGACCATTCTTTATCCATCCAAGCTTCCTTCTCAAGGTCGAATTATATTGTTTTAGCCGCTTTGTTCACCTTCTCTATCAACATCGACCAGCTCGCGTGAGCGTCGCTCATCCCATTCATTTCTCCCAGAGCGAAAGGTCGGGGAACGAATTCAAGGCGGTTATCTCATGGCCGAACAAGCTCCCTCTGCGGACTGCACGCAGGAACCAGCCTCAGCTCCAGCTACCGACCCTTCATCGCACCAGCATTCGTCGCACAAACATTCGTCGCACAAAGCATCAGAGAAAGAGATTCTCTCCGAGCTCCTCTCCATCGCCGACATTCCCGTTGCGTCGCACAAGTCGTCGTCGTCGTCGTCGCACCACCATTCCCGTCGCCATGCGGCGCCGGCGACCGTCGTCGATCCAATGCACCTCAAGACGGCGTCGCAACACCTGAAGGCTGCGCGACAGCAGCAGATAGTGGACTCAGATGCCTCGGATTCTGCGACGGGCTCTTCTCCCCCGAAGCAAAAGTTTCGCAATCGGATTGCTGCGAGTACGAACGCGAACGCGTCGCTGGACAGCTTTTTGACGACGGGCAACGACAACTCGCAAAGTGGTAACCAAGCCGATGGCGGAAGCTCCACTTCGGTCAACGCGAATGGAGATGACGGGGTAAAAAATGCTTCGGGGGTAGAAGAGATGCTGTTTCCTTCTTATTCCGACCATGCGAAACCGGATCACGTCGCCGAGGCTGTCGCAGATGTCGCAGGGCTGAAGATTAAGGACGCGACAAGCTCAGCGACAAGCGAAAACGACGCGCCGAAAGTGGATACCAACGAGAAGAGTGAGATGAGAAAAAGTAACAGCGTGAGCGCCTTGGAAAATGCGGATAAGAAGCCTCCGTCGCGAGGTTCGGTGAATGTCGAAACGTCGGAAGTTCTTGCCGCAATGCGCGTCTGGGGTGCGAACAGAGGAGCGGCGAACGCGGCGGGGAATGCGGACTCGGCTTTCATGCAGCCATATCAAGGTAGCAGTTACAGCAGCTACGTCGACGACCACAAAACTTCGCCAAGGGTTTCGTTGGACGCTCCTGCTCGCGAAGAACCGGCGAAACTGGAAAGATCGCGATCGAAAAGTTACCCCGAGTTGGCAGAGCTGGCGAAATCGGCAGCATCTGTGCCCAAAATCAAACCGCTCGGCGGAATGCGGTCTGGGGAGAAATCAGGGGGAAATGCTTCTTCGGTTATGGATAAGCTCGGGGTTGGTCAAGAGGATTCGGAATATGCAGGTAAGCCTCAACAGTGTAGCCCCTGCCCCTAACGCTCTTTTCGCCTTCCTGGGTCCCTATTGCGGCCTTTTTCTCCCTTTCTTCACTCAGCTGCTCGCGTTCTTGTTGCTGTTTTTCATTTCCATAGTCCGCTCGTTCCTTGTCGTCATCCTCCCCATGCCCATGCCAATGCCCACGCCCATGTCCGCTATCCCCGGCCATGCTCATGCCCATGCCCATGCCAATGCCCATGCCCATGCCCATCCCCCTATGGCCATGCCACTGCCCATGCCCATGCTCATCCACATGCTCATGCCCGTCCGGCCCCTCTCTTCCATGTACTTAGCAAGTTGCAATTGATGACCACCGATGTTCAATCCAATTGTTACTCCAAACTGGATGGTATGTAACCTGTGCTTTGTTGTAACAGATACGGAGTATTTCGGGTGGCTCTTGTCGGGAGGGTCTAAGTTCGCCAAGCCTGCGAGCACGAGGCAAGGTCAGGAGCAGCCTCCGAGCCAGTAGCCGGACCTGTGCCTTGTAATGACCCTCATCCTCTGCCTTGTGTGAACCTACATTTTTTGTTGCGTGCGAGATTCCATTATCAAGAGAACACTGTACAACAATTCGAACAAGAATGCGTGAAAGTTCCGATAGATAGACCCTAGAAATGAGGTACACCTCGTAAACTGTACACTTTATACAGTATGCAGTTTCTGCTTGCCGGTTGTGTGCAGTTAGTTTAACTCTTTCTCTTCCTCCAATCGTATGTCTTCCCCTGTTTTCTTCGTCCGTTCCCTGCAAGCAGATCCGGAAGATCAATGCCAAGAGACCGTTTCTCCTAACAGCATTCAGAATGTGGGAATCAGCCTTGCAGGAGTTGGAGAAGCTTCTAAGGAGGATCCATCAAGTCCAACCTCAGTTGTCACATGCACCGAATCTAGACTCAAGCCTGAATCCGAATCCCGAAATGATAGCCTCTGTCAACCCCCCTCTGCATCATCCACCTTCTGCCAAGATAGAAGTACTGCTGAAAATAGCGACGGCGGCGGCTGGAGCAGCAACGGCGAAGTTCATTCAGGGAAAGGCAACCCCATTTCGTTTGAAAAGTCTGGCTCCAAAGCCTTTCTGAGAGCAAATGGGAATGGATGGTTATCGTCGCCTCTTTCCAAATTTAGAAAGGGGGCCCGGAGAAGCATCAGTGGTAGCAGCAGCAGCAGCATCATTCACCAGTCAAGCACCTTTGGGGAGAGTAACGATGCTGAAGCTGCTAAGAGAAGAAGCAGTCTGGATGAAACGGATCGGCTGAGAGAGGAGGTGTGTGCAGGGAACGTTGTGGCAGCCTGTCCTGCTGCGGATGCGGCTGTAGCTTTTGTAGCTGGAGCGGAAGCTGAGGTGGAGAGAGCTGCAGATGTAACGATGCAGCTTGATTCGGTTAGAAAGGAAGAGACCGCAACGAGTGAGCATGTGGTTCCATCGAAACGAGGATTTGCTTGGTGGGGTTTGCTCCGTAGGAGGTTGACAGCTCTTTAGGCTCGTTTGCTATTCTTGAGTGCGATAACACAAAAACACTTGTTAGCTTGTGTATGCTTGTTTTGAAATCGATTTTAACTTAGCTCCTTTTTGCATTTGGTTTCAGAGAAAAATCACACAAAAAGTACACTGTAAATCCGATATTCGTCGCAACTAGCCTTATATGTGAAGCCAATTTTCAACCACATCGGAGCCGCCAAATTGCGCGCGAAGCTGACCTCCGCCGTCGGTCACAACGAGAATCCCGAGGCTCGCCGAGGGAATGGAGAGAGCAGCAGTGTACACCAAAGAATGCAACCGTCGAGGCATGTCTGTGAGTGATGAGACTGATAGAGACAACCAGCATGACAAGCCATGGCTTGCTAGCGACATCAAATGTGTTTCAGGGCTGGCTGTGGCTGGTTTGATCAATTCCAGACGGTTTTGCAAGCAGAGAGCGAGGAGAAAACCGAATGATGCTTCAGGGTGGAAGACCCCGAATGATGGCCGTGGGGAGAGTAGACATGGCGTTGCGAAGATGATGTGGTTGCTACGGCGGAGCGATCATCGTTTCAGTTGCATCCTCTCAGTTGCTTTTCTCGTCTTCCAATTCGTGTATCCGTCGTAGGACTCGCAGGATTTATCCCTCCGAGCAGGGAAACCTTTAGGCTTTTTTTTCTTTCCCGGTCAATGTTTGACGGACCCGTGTGTCTCCTCGTTTAGCGATGAACGCGGTTCAGGGAGAAGCGAATACGGCGAGACGAGGGGAAGAGAAGACACAGAAGCGGAGCAAACACCAAGGAAACGACACGGGATCTGGCTTGGGAAACGAGTCAGCAAGGATGATGAAGCGGACGGGGAGGAGGATGAAGGGACGGGAAACCGCGAGCACGAAGAAAAAGAAGAAGATTATTCTGCAGCTTCGACAGTGGGTGGCGTTTCTCTAGGAATTTCCTCCTCAGAATTCTGTTATCTTTCTCTCGACGACTCGCGACTTTTCCAATTCGTTGAGCCCTCTTACGATTCGACTCACTTCCCGCTCAAATCGAAATTTCATCTACTCATAATCCTTAGAACTGTTGAATTTCCTCAAAAGTCGTTACACTCAAAAGGACGCTGCCCCTTCGCTCACCCACTTTCTGGGTTGTCACCCTATGCTTCTCTCCGTTCTACTGGTATCAGCAGTGCAGTAGACCATCAGGTGGCTCTGCAACGCAACACCATCGTCTACTTTTGAGACGACTCAGAAGTCTGTTGTCAGCGGCTACGCTTCTCTAACTCACTCTCTCTGTTGTCGCCTGCTGCTTTCTCTCCGTTCTGCTGCAGGTACCAGCAGGAGGTTCTTCAGGTAGCTCTGGCCTCTATCGTCTACTGTTGAGACATCTGAATCTGTTACCAACCACCTACTACTTCGCTTCGTTCTGCAGGTACCAGCAGGAGGTTCTTCAGGTGGCTCAGGAGCGCAACACCATCGTCTACTTTTGAGACGTGTCACGAGTCTGATGCCACCTGCCTCCGCTCACTTTCCCTGTTACCGCCTACCTACTGCTCTGCTTCGTTCTGCTCCAGGTACCAGCAGGAGGTTCTTCAGGTGGCTCTGGAGCGCAACACTATCGTCTACCTGGAAACCGGCATGGGGAAGACTCTAATTGCCGTCATGCTTATGCAGGTGAGTCTGATTGTGGAAGGCACTGATTAAGCTGATTAGGAGGTCATGGTCTGATACAGAAGGGCATAAGGTGTTTTAGAATGTCGTTGACTGACAATAGTGTGCGGATCTGTATGTCATTTGTCGAATCTGGGTAATTTTACCTGAATTAGACTGAAATTGACTGAATCAGAATACAATTGTCTGAATCGAAACGGGGTTAGCTGAAGTTCATTTTTTGACACAGCATAACATTGCCATCACATTGGGAATTGTTGGGTCACTCGTCTATGGTAGTCTTGCTTACTGCTGCTGAGTGTCTTACCACTCTCTTCCTTCCTCATGCTCTCATGCAGGCTCGCCGTCAGATGCGGGAGAGGAGTGGCAAGATATGTGTCTTCCTGGTGCCAGCGGTTGCTCTGGTGATTCAGGTTGGTGCAGGGAAAGGGTGAGTTGAGAGTGGTGGATAGGATGGGGTCTGACAGGGAAGGTGACCTTTGATTCACTCCACAACACAAGATCTGTGTCTTCCTGGTGCCAGCGGTTGCTCTGGTGATTCAGGTTGGTGTTGGAAGACAAGTGAGAGTGGCAATATCGGGCCAAACAATGAGTGAAAGTTGGCTTGATCATCGGGACTCTGGAATTCTGAAGATGCATACAGTTTTCAATTGTGATACAAATCCTGGTTGTGTGTGAGTATGTGCTAGTACAACACATGATTGTTTGTGATTTCATCCCCTTGCTTCCACATATCCATGCAGCAAGCAGCAATGGTGGAGCAGCAGACGGACATGCGAGTGGGGTACGCCTCACATTGTGGTTGTGTGTTCATGCATGCCCATGCGACACATGATTGTGTGTAAACCCGCCCCCCTGTTTCCACTGTTTCCTGCAGCAAGCGGCAGTGGTGGAGCAGCAGACGAACATGCGGGTGGGGAGTCGTCACACATCTTGGTTGCGTGTTCATCCATGCAAATGAGGCACGTTCCTGTTTGTGTATTCATCCATCCCCTTGCATTCATCCCCTTGCTTCCATCCCCTCACTGCAGCAAGCGGCAGTGGTGGAGCAGCAGACGGACATGCGGGTGGGGAAGTACAGCACAGACACAGAGATCAAATACGAGGCCGCATGGGTGCAGAAACAGGTCTCCCAGCATGAGGTGCGTGCCTCTTAGCATCGGCAAGGTCAGGCAGGCTCATTGCCTATGGTCATACGGGCGAGAGGGACATGCGGGTGGGGTGGGGAGGCACAGCACAGACACAGAGATCAAATACGAGGCCACGTGGGTGCAGCAGCAGGTCTCCAGGCATGAGGTGCGTACCTGTTGTAGCACATGCAAACTCAGCTGCTCAGGTTGGCTCATTATCATGGTGACGGACATGCGGGTGGGGAGGTACAGCACAGACACAGAAATCAAATACGAGGCCACATGGGTGCAGAAACAGGTCTCCCAGCATGAGGTGCGTGCCTCTTAGCATCGGCAAGTTCAGGCAGGCTCATTGCCTATGGTGATACGGGCGAGGGACATGCGGGTGGGGAAGTAGACGACTTTTGAGACGTCTCAAAAGGCGAGGGACATGCGGGTGGGGAGGTGCAGCACGGACACAGAGATCAAATACGAGGCCACATGGGTGCAGCAGCAGGTCTTTTAGCATGAGGTGCGTGCCTCTTAGCATTGGCAAGTTCAGGCAGGCTCATTGCCTATGGTGATACGGGCGAGAGGGACATGCGGGTGGGGTGGGGAGGTACAGCACGGACACAGAGACCAAATACGAGGCCACATGGGTGCAGCAGCAGGTCTCCCAGCATGAGGTGCGTGCGTTTTAGTACATGCAGGTTTTAGGGTTTCTTGCCACCTGGCTCATTGTTAAACCCTACACCTTGAACCCTGGAAGCTGCAACACACCTTCCTGTTCCCCCCTTGGCTGTCCCTACCCCCCTTGTCCGTGGTTCCTCTGCTGCTCTCCAGGTGCTGGTGATGACGCCTCAGGTGCTCGTGAACCTCCTGCAGCACGCCTTCCTGTGTCTCTCTTCAGTGGATCTCCTCATATTCGACGAGTGCCATCACACCGCCAAGGACCATGCCTACGCCACAATCATGAAGGTGAACCTTTACATCAATGAGACAGGCAGTGCAGAACACCCTTTTTCTTGTTTCCGCCTTGAGTTGAGTGGATCTCCTCATATTCGACGAGTGCCATCACACCGCCAAGGACCATGCCTACGCCACAATCATGAAGGTGAAACCTTGGGATGTGAATCAAGATGCACTATGGCAAACAAGCACGCCTTCCTGTGTCTCTCGTCAGTGGATCTCCTCATATTCGACGTATGCCATCACACCACCAAAGACCACCCCTACGCCACTATAATGAAGGTGGACCCTTACAATGCTGTCTTATGCGATGCGGTGCTTTGGGCACCACCACCAAGGATCACCCCTACGTGACAATAATGAAGGTGCAGCCTTGTTGCGAGACGCAGAGTGGCAGACAAATTCGCCTGCCCGTCCCTTTTTCCAGGAAACCGTGACACCACCAAGGACCACCGCTATGCGTTACACTATCTGAATTATCTCCTAGTCTTTCTGATCCTTCATTTTTATCCGAGCAGACGTGGTACTTCTCCCTGAAGCAGAGCGAGATGCCACTCATATTCGGCATTGCAGCGTCGCCCATCAACAAGGGCAGCGGGTCGGAATTTGGCAGCAAGTGAATCCTGCCCAAGTCTTTTCTATCCCTCACCACCTTGATCTAAGCAGACGTGGTACTTTTCCCTGAGGCAGGCGGAGCGGCCTTTCATGTTCGGCATGACAGCGTCGCCCATCAACACCAAGGGCAGCGGGTCGGAGGAGGGAAGCAAGTGAATCCCGTCCAACCCTTTCCGATCCCTTACCACCCTTATCCGAGAGCAGACGTGGTACTTTTCCCTGAAGCAGGGCGAGCGGCCGCTCATATTCGGCATGACAGCATCACCCATCAACACCAAGGGCAGCAGGTCGGAGGAGGGAAGCAAGTGAATCCCGTCCAAGTCTTTTCTATCCCTCACCAACCTTATCCAACCAGACGTGGTACTTCTCCCTGAAGCAGGCGGACCGGCCGCTCATATTCGGCATGACAGCGTCGCCCATCAACACCAAGGGCAGCGGGTCGGAGGAGTCGTGCGTGCAACAGCTGCTTGACTTCGAACGCATTCTAGACTCCAAGGTGTGTGACACTATGAGAGAATGGGGGGTACATGCATTCGGCATGACGGCATCGCCCATCAACACCAAGGGCAGCGGGTCGGAGGAGTCGTGCGTGCGACAGCTGCTTGACTTCGAACGCATTCTCGACTCAAAGGTATGTGGCACTTGACTTGATTGGTTTGAAGGGGACAGGTTGGGACAGGTTGGGACAGGTTGGGACTGGTTGGGTCTGAGAGGCTGGGAGGGGGGCGCCTGTATGTGGCATGACGGCATCGCCCATCAACACCAAGGGCAGCGGGTCGGAGGAGTCGTGCGTGCGACACCTGATGTAAACGTCGGCATTTGTCTGGTGGAGGTGCTACCCAGGGAAGGCTCATTTGTTCTGACTTTTCCCCCTCACCTCTTTCACTCCCCTCTCTTTTTGTGTCTGCCCTGCACCCCCAGCTCTGCACGGTCCTGGACAGGTCGTGTCTGGTGGAGGTGCTACCCAGCGCGCAGACCATCCAGTCCCACTCATCACTTCCTCCCCCCTCCCCCCCCCCCCCCCCCCCCCCCCCCCCCCCCCCCCCCCTCTCCCCCAGCTCTACACGGTTCTGGACAGGTCGTGTCTGGTGGAGGTGCTACCCAGCGCGCAGACCATCCAGTCCCACTACGACCCCCCTGGGGAGGAGCAGGCGGAGGTGCTGGTGAAGCTAAGGGAGAGGGTGGAGAAGGAGAGGGAGGGGATGGTGCGATGGATAGAGGAGGAGGGGAGGAGAGTGGTAGATGAGAGTGGAGGGACGGGGCAGGAGGCGGGGAGCGAGGGGTGGGTGGAAGAGGGGAGGGGGGAAGAGCAGGGGAGGGATGGGCACCAAGGCGATCGCCAACCCAACCACCAGCAGAGGTGGACAGCAGCGTATGGGGAGGTGCGGCGGAGGATGGTGAAACGAGTGAAGTACTTTGCAGGAGCCCTGGACTGGTGCCTTACTGACCTCGGCCGCTACCCCGCATTCCTGGTACGACCTTATGACCTTCTAACTGTGGTATCACATGCATTCCTGGTATTCTTCTTGCTGCCATGAAACGCTGCCCTGATTCGCGACTGCAATCAGCAGAGAGTCTGCTTGCCAGCAGTGTTGACAGTGGCAACGTCCCAATCACATTGATCGACAGACAGGTGCCCCAGTGACCTTGGCCCTACGCCGTACCACTCTTCAACTAACCCCGTGCCCGCACTCACCAGGCTCTGCAGTCGCTGGGCGGGCAAATAGCCAGTGGGGCCATGGACAAGCATGAGAGCACCTTTATGTTAGGCACCTTTCCACCTCCCCACCCGCTTTCCCCGCGCTCTCGACCTGTCTTCAGGCTCTGCACTCGCTGCGCGCTCAGGCAACCAGTGGGGGCATGGACCAGCATGAGGAGAACGCCCGCCCGCCGCAAAAATCTCACACTACCCCCCCCCTCTCCTTCTTCCACCCACTTTTCCCCTTCACCCGCCTCCAGGCTCTGCACTCGCTGCGTGCTCAGGCAGCCAGTGGGGGCATGGACCAGCATGAGGAGAACGCCCGCCCGCCACACAACTCGCTCACTAACTTCTCCCCCCTCCACCCACTTTTCAACTTCACCCACCTCCAGGCTTTGCAGGCGCTGCGCGCTCAGGCAGCCAGTGGGGGCATGGACCAGCATGAGGAGAACGCCCGCCCGCCGCAAAAATCTCACACTACCCCCCCCCTCTCCTTCTTCCACCCACTTTTCCCCTTCACCCGCCTCCAGGCTCTGCACTCGCTGCGTGCTCAGGCAGCCAGTGGGGGCATGGACCAGCATGAGGAGAACGCCCGCCCGCCACACAACTCGCTCACTAACTCCTCCCCCCTCCACCCACTTTTCAACTTCACCCACCTCCAGGCTTTGCAGGCGCTGCGCGCTCAGGCAGCCAGTGGGGGCATGGACCAGCATGAGGAGAACGCCCGCCCGCCGCAAAAATCTCACACTACCCCCCCCCTCTCCTTCTTCCACCCACTTTTCCCCTTCACCCGCCTCCAGGCTCTGCACTCGCTGCGTGCTCAGGCAGCCAGTGGGGGCATGGACCAGCATGAAGAGAACGCCCGCCTGCGGAACGCGTTTGCGGCCGTCCGATTGGAGTTCATCAACCGCTGCGAGGCGTTCCTTCGATGTGGATTACCACCCGGTGAGAATTCACATGGGCTGGTTACTGGTTACTGTTTTCAGGTCTCCCTTACCCTCCTGCCCTCCTCACCCCGAACTCGTTTACCTTCTCTCCCGCTTGCCCCTCCCCATCCCGTCACCCCTCCTCTTGGTTGATTCACTCAATGTAAATCCAGAGGCCAAGGCAGGAGGCCCTGGCGGACTAGAAGCCACCCTCTCCCTCGCATCACACCCCTCTGCCCTCCTCACTCCCAAACTCGCCCACCTCATCGTCTCTTGTGCACCCTCCTTGCCCAGTCCCTCCCCGCTTGCTTCATTTCTCAATGTAAATCCAGAGGCCAAGGCACGAGGCCCTGGCGGACTAGAAGCCACCCTCTCCCTCGCATCACACCCTGCTGCTCTGCTCATTTCCAAACTTGACTACCTCCTCTTCCGTTCTCCTTCTTCATCGTATCATCCTTCTTTTATTGTGCATCCAGAGGCCAAGGCACCCGGCCCAGGCGGTCTAGAAGCCACCCTGTCCCTGGCATCTCACCCCTCTGCTCTCTTCACTCCCAAACTCGCCCACCTTCTCTCCCACTCTCCTGTCCGTCCCCCGTTGTTCCTCCCCTCAACGTAAATGCAGAGGCCAAGGCACCCGGCCCAGGCGGTCTAGAAGCCACCCTGTCCCTGGCATCTCACCCCTCTGCTCTCTTCACTCCCAAACTCGCCCACCTTCTCTACCACTCTCCTGTCCGTCCCCCGTTGTTCCTCCCCTCAACGTAAATGCAGAGGCCAAGGCACCAGGCCCAGGCGGACTAGAAGCGACCCTCGCCCTGGCATCTCACCCCTCTGCTCTCTTCACTCCCAAACTCGCCCACCTCCTCTCCCACTCTCCTGTCCGTCCCCCGTTGTTCCTCCCCTCAACGTGAATCCAGAGGCCAAGGCACCAGGCCCAGGCTGACTAGAAGCCACCCTGTCCCTGGCATCGCATCCCTCTGCTCTCCTTACCCCCAAAATCGCCCACCTCCTCTCCCTCCTCCGCCTCTACTCCTCCCAGCCATCCCCCACCATTGTCATTTTCGTGGAGCGCATTGTCACCGCACACAGCCTCTCTCGACTCCTCCGTCTGCTGCCCTCGGTTGCTGCCTCCCTGAGGGCGGATTTTGTGGTTGGTGCTGGGGCTGCCAAGATCGGGATCTTGGCCAATCAGGGCGGGACAGCGAAGCACTCCCGTCCGGATTCCGCGATTTCACGATTTCGTGCGGGGAAGGTGAGAGGGTCAGGGGGGGAGAGAGGGGAGGCGGAGAGAGGAAAGCGGGAGGGCATGGACATATCGTCCTGCCACACAACACAGTCTATTAGACTATCTGCTCTCTCGTTGTTTTTCTCCCCTATGTCGTTTCCTGCAGCTGAATGTGCTGGTGGCAACGAGTGCAGCAGAGGGGGGCATGGACATACCGGCGTGCCACACAAACAACGCCCTTCCCCCTCCCTGCTCCCTCCCCCTTCCCCCCCTTCCCCCCTTCCCCCCTTCCCACCCCCCCCTTCCCGCTCTCCCTCTGCATCTCAAATGGTCCTTTGTATTAATTCAGCAGGGGGTACAGACATCTCCCTCTTCCTGCAGGTCAACGTGCTGGTGGCAACGAGCGCAGCAGAGGAGGGCATGGACATTCCCGCGTGCCACACAGTGATCCGATTCGACCGCATTCCCAACGCTGCTACTCTCTGCTACCTCGCTCTCGCCCTGCATCTCTCTCTCTCTCTCCGTGCCTTCCTCACGCAGCTGAACGTGCTGGTGGCAACGAGTGCAGCAGAGGAGGGCATGGACATTCCGGCGTGCCACACGGTGATCCGATTGGACCGCATTCTCAATGTGCGCTCCATGCTGCAGTCCCTTCTGAGACTACTTACAAGTCCCCTCCCTGTGTCCCCCCTACCTCTCCCCCTGCAGGTCAACGTGCTGGTGGCAACGAGTGCGGCAGAGGAGGGCATAAACATTCCGTCATGCCACACAGCTTCCCCTCCCTCTGTCCATTCTTCCCTGCCCCTCCTCCTCCCCCACACAGCTGAACGTGCTGGTGGCGACGAGTGCAGCGGAGGAGGGCATGGACATACCGGCATGCCACACAGTGATCCGATTCGACCGCATTCTCAATGTGCGCTCCATGCTGCAATCCCGGGGTAGGGCGCGGAAACCCGGAGCACACTTTCGAGTCCTTGTGCAACGGTGAGTGGGTGTGGTAGGATGGGTTAATATGGGTAGTACAGCACGACGGAGTTCTATTGTGATCTTTGAGACTGGATGGTATGGTATGGTATGGTATGGTATGGTATGGTATGGTATGGTATGGTATGGTATGGTATGGTATGGTATGGTATGGTATGGTATGGTATGGTAGTAGTGTACTCCGTTCTCCTGCAATAGTGGCTTGCCTTTTTAGCCCCTCCTAAGCACAGCACGATAGCCCCTCTTTTGATTGCTGCATCCTTAATGGGCACTCCATGCGCAGTTCCATGGCAATTGCACATTATCACAGGAAATGAGAGTGCTTTTGAGAGTGTGTTTTTTTTTTTACACTCTCATTTCACGTTCCCGATGGGCACTCCATGCGCAGTTCCGTGGCAATCACACCTTACTACCGTGCAGCACCATGCAAGCCACTCAATCACAGTGCAGCCCACGTATATGCATATGGAACGTGCATTCAGCGTGCATGGGCACTCCAGCAGTGGCGTCGATGGTGGCAGGGCCGCAATAGAACGGCTGCACGGGTGCCGTGAGGCTGTTCACCGTGCCAGCCGCCAGAACACTCGTTGCTGGCCAAGTTCATGCGCAACGAGGGCACCATGCAAGCCACGGTGCAGCAGGCTGCTGCTGACTCACATGCGCAGCGCACGTCCCTGAGACCCCCTTGCTCTTACCCTTTTCACTACGACCCCACTCCTCTCCCTCCTTTTCCCCTCTCAGTGGTGATGGCAAGTACGAGGAGGACTTAGCCAAGTTCATGCGCAATGAAGGCACCTGCTTACGCCCCTAGCTTCCCTCCTTTCGTGCATTTCCCCTCTCCCACACCAGTGGTGATACCAAGTACGAGGAGGACTTAGCCAAGTTCATGCGCAATGAGGGCACCATGCAGGCCACGGTGCAGCAGCAGCGCAACACCCAGAACCAGAATGAAAACCGAGGGGAGACAGGAGGGGATAGAGGCCTGGGAGGGCCGTTTTGGGAAGATGAAAGTGGGGAGGAGGAGGAGGCAGAGGAGGGAGGAGATGGAGACGGGATGGATGTGGATGTGGATTGGGATGGGAGGATAAACCTGGAAGTGGGGGCAGAGGAGGGAGGGAATGAGGCTAGTGGGAAAGGTGGTGTGAGGGGAGAGGGTGTGGGAGGAGAGGGGAGGGGGGAAGGGAAGGTGGAGAAGGGGGAAGGGAAGGTGGAGAGTAGGTGGGGGGTGAGGGGCGGCAGCAGGGTGCTAGTGGTGCCGAGTACAGGGGCGCTGGTGACGAGGCAGGGGAGTGTGGCACTTGTCTACCAATTCTGCAACACCCTCGGGGCGAATGACGGGTGGGTGGATTGCTTTGGGTCGACTCAAAGGTGCGTTAGGGGCGGCAGCAGGGTGCTTTGGGGCGCTGGTGACGAGGCAAGGCAGTGTGGCTCTCGTGTATCAGTTCTGCAACACCCTCGGGGCCAATGACGGGTGGGTTGCTTGCGTGATGAGGGAAGGAAGCTGCAGAGTAGGTGGGGCAGGGTGCTAGTGGTGCCGAGTACAGGGGCGCTGGTGACGAGGCAGGGCAGTGTGGCTCTCGTGTATCAGTTCTGCAACACTCTGAGGACCAATGACGGGTGCGTTGCCTGTTGAAATGTGTGCAAGTGTGTGCGCGCGCGCGCGTGTGTGTGTGTGTGTGTGTGTGTGTGTGTGTGTGTGTGTGTGTGTGTTACCCACGTATCCACCCCCTCTCCCCCCCCCTCTACCCCACACTACACCACACATGAGTGGCGGGCTCCAGCCATGCTTCTCTCTTTGTCCCCCCCTCCCATGCCATGCCACTTCCTCAACAACGTTTCCAACCACCCACTCCCCCTTTCCCGCCCCCACCCACACCCCGCACCTCCCCCCCATGCACACCAACATCACATCATCACATCACAGGAGTGGCGTGCTGCAGCCATTCTTCTCTGTCTCCTCCTCCCATCCTTCATGCCACTTCCCCCCGTTACTTTTTCTTAACCATACACTTCCCCTTTCCCTCCCTTTCCATCCCCACCAACATCACATCTTCACATCATCACATCACAGGAGTGGCGTGCTGCAGCCATGCTTCTCTGTCTTCTCCTCCCATCCCTCATGCCACTTCCCCCCGTTACTTTTTCTTAACCATACACTTCCCCTTTCCCTCCCTTTCCATCCCCACCAACATCACATCTTCACATCATCACATCACAGGAGTGGCGTGCTGCAGCCATTCTTCTCTGTTAACTCCTCACCCGCCGATTCAAGCACCACCGCTGCTGCCACTGCAGCTGCAGCTTCTCCCAGCGACCCTCCAGCGGGCCTCTTTACAGTCACACTCCGCCTGCCAGCCACTGCCGGCGTCCCTGCCATCCACGGCCCGCCATGCCGGACGAAAATCGCCGCCCGGAGAGCCGTGTGCCTGCAGGCAGTACGGATTCTGCTGGATTCTGGGCGGCTGAGCGAGTGGCTGTTGCCGATTCGGTGGGGGAAGAAGAGGCGGAGCAAGTTTGGTGCTACTGTGGCTCCTGAGAGAGGTGGGGCCATGATTGGTATGTGGGAGGGGTGGGGGCATACATGGCATGTGAGAGGTGGTGGGTAGGTTAGTATGTCTTGCAGAAGAGGCGGAGCAAGTTTGGTGCTACTGTGGCTCCTGAGAGAGGTGGGTCCATGATTGGTATGTGGGAGGGGTGGGGGCATACATGGCATGTGAGAGGTGGTGGGTAGGTTAGTATGTCTTGCAGAAGAGGCGGAGCAAGTTTGGTGCTACTGTGGCTCCTGAGAGAGGTGGGTCCATGATTGGTATGTGGGAGGGGTGGGGGCATACATGGCATGTGAGAGGTGGTGGGTAGGTTAGTATGTCTTGCAGAAGAGGCAGAGCAAGTTTGGTGCTACTGTGGCTCCTGAGAGAGGTGGGTCCATGATTGGTATGTGGGAGGGGTGGGGGCATACATGGCATGTGAGAGGTGGTGGGTAGGTTAGTATGTCTTGCAGAAGAGGCGGAGCAAGTTTGGTGCTACTGTGGCTCCTGAGAGAGGTGGGTTGTGGTGGGTTGGACGGCATGTGGAGAAGAGGTGTGGCCATGGAATGTGGGAAATGGGGGGCGAATGTCATTCGGGAAAGGTGGGGGCGTGGCATGTGTGAGATTCGGGTGAAGTTTGCTGCTACCGCTGCTTGTAGGAGATCGAGTTGAGTTTTGAGTCGACTCGTGAAGTTTGCTGCTACCGCTGCTTGTAGGAGATCGAGTTGAGTTTTGAGTCGACTCGTGAAGTTTGCTGCTACCGCTGCTTGTAGGAGATCGAGTTGAGTTTTGAGTCGACTCGTGAAGTTTGCTGCTACCGCTGCTTGTAGGAGATCGAGTTGAGTTTTGAGTCGACTCGTGAAGTTTGCTGCTACCGCTGCTTGTAGGAGATCGAGTTGAGTTTTGAGTCGACTCAAAACTCGACTCGTGAAGTTTGCTGCTACCACTGCTTGTAGGAGATCTCCCAAGAGAGTGCAGTTTACCCCAACCATGATTCCCCCATCTCCCCCCACCCCGCATCTTCCCCCATTACCCTTCTTGATCCCACCCTGTCAGCTCGCCGTGTTGCCATGCACGTGCACCAGCAAATCCCCTCTGCCCTGCTCCTTCCCATCGCATTTCCCCCACCAACCACATTCACCATCTCCCCCAATCTCCCTGCATCATCCCTCCCATCCTCCCTCCCCTCCATCAGCTAGCCGTGTTGCCATGCACGTGCACCAGCAAATCCCCTCTGCCCTGCTCCTTCCCATCGCATTTCCCCCACCAACCACATTCACCATCTCCCCCAATCTCCCTGCATCATCCCTCCCATCCTCCCTCCCCTCCATCAGCTAGCCGTGTTGCCATGCACGTGCACCAGCAAATCCCCTCTGCCCTGCTCCTTCCCATCGCATTTCCCCCACCAACCACATTCACCATCTCCCCCAATCTCCCTGCATCATCCCTCCCATCCTCCCTCCCCTCCATCAGCTAGCCGTGTTGCCATGCACGTGCACCAGCAAATCCCCTCTGCCCTGCTCCTTCCCATCGCATTTCCCCCACCAACCACATTCACCATCTCCCCCAATCTCCCTGCATCATCCCTCCCATCCTCCCTCCCCTCCATCAGCTAGCCGTGTTGCCATGCACGTGCACCAGCAAATCCCCTCTGCCCTGCTCCTTCCCATCGCATTTCCCCCACCAACCACATTCACCATCTCCCCCAATCTCCCTGCATCATCCCTCCCATCCTCCCTCCCCTCCATCAGCTAGCCGTGTTGCCATGCACGTGCACCAGCAAATCCCCTCTGCCCTGCTCCTTCCCATCGCATTTCCCCCACCAACCACATTCACCATCTCCCCCAATCTCCCTGCATCATCCCTCCCATCCTCCCTCCCCTCCATCAGCTAGCCGTGTTGCCATGCACGTGCACCAGCAAATCCCCTCTGCCCTGCTCCTTCCCATCGCATTTCCCCCACCAACCACATTCACCATCTCCCCCAATCTCCCTGCATCATCCCTCCCATCCTCCCTCCCCTCCATCAGCTAGCCGTGTTGCCATGCACGTGCACCAGCAAATCCCCTCTGCCCTGCTCCTTCCCATCGCATTTCCCCCACCAACCACATTCACCATCTCCCCCAATCTCCCTGCATCATCCCGCCCATCCTCCCTCCCCTCCATCAGCTAGCCGTGTTGCAATGCACGTGCACCAGCGAATCCCCTCTGCCCTGCGCCTCCCATGGGAGGGGGCGGGTGAGGGGGGCCAGCGAGGGTTGGGCGAGGAGGAGGAGAAGGAGCAGGAGAGGCGGACGTATTTTGTGTACCGTGTTCACATCGGCATGGGCAGGAAGGCAGATGGAGGTGGAAAAGAGTGTGATAGAAAGGGTGCTAGAGGGAGTGACACTAAGGAGGACGGCAATGAACGTGACTGTAAGGAGCGTGAGGGAAGCAGAGGGGGACCAGAGGAGGAGCAAGAGGAGGAGCAGGAGGGGGAGCAAGAGGAGGAGACTGTATCAAACCTCGCCTCGTCACGAAATACCTTCCAGTTTCTAATCTTATGCGCGGGGGAACTTGGTAGCGATTGTGGGGCGGCGATGTTCAAACTGTTCCCCAAGGGAGTGGGCCATGCTACAGTGCAGCTGGCTCCCATGGGCCGTGTGGTCCTCTCTGCCAGTCAGGTATGAGACCTTGTGTACCTTGAGCTGCACGCCTGTCGTCCCCCCTCTCCCTCCTCCCCCACCCACTTACTTCCCTTGCACGCTCATCTCCTCATGTCCTTCTACGCGCATCTTGTCCGCACCTCACATTGCCCTTCCCCTCTCCCACCCACCACTCCACACCCTGCCTTGTGCCCGCACCTACTTGCTTCCCATGCAGGCACGTCTCCTCTTGTCCTTCCACGCGCATCTCTTCGCCACTCTCCTGCGCCGCTGTCACCAAACCACATGTGATCTCAATGCACCAGAAGCTGCTTTCCTCCCTCCTCACTACCTGCACCTACTTGCTTCCTTCCCTTGCAGGCACGTCTCCTCATGTCCTTCCACGCGCATCTCTTCGCCACTCTCCTGCGCCGCTGTCACCAAACCACATGTGATCTCAATGCACCAGAAGCTGCTTTCCTCCCTCCTCACTACCCCACCTGCTCCCCTCCCTGGCAGGCTCGACTCCTCATGTCCTTCCACGCGCATCTCTTGGCCACTCTCTTGCGCCGCTGCCGCCGCTGCTGCCAAGCCACACCCACCCCTAGTGCTGGCCTTGGTAGTGCTGCCCCTGACGATGTTTCTCCTAGTAGTGCTTCCCAGTACCATCCATCCTCGTTTTGGAATGGCCCGTTGCACTATATAGTTGCGCCGGTGGCTCAACCGCTGTCCATGGGCAGTCCCTGCCAGGGTGCTGCTGCTGCTGCTGGCCTGGCTGCTGCAGCTGCTGCTGCTGGCGCTGCTGCTGCTGCCGCTGGTGCTGCTTTCGATCCTGCTGGTGCTGGTGCTGATATCGCTGCTGCTGTTTGCAGCGACACGGACGCTAGTGCAGTGGATTGTACTGGGCCAGAGGGAAAGAAGAGTAAGCTGAGTGGGAGTAAGGTGGAGGGCGGTGAAGTGCGGTGCAGAGGGGTAGAGAAGAGGAGCAACCGGAGGGATTTGGCGGGCTCGATTGGAGAGAAGGGAGAGGCAGATACGGATATGGATGTATCTGGAAAAAAGAAAGAAGGGGAGGAGGGTGTAAAGGAAAGGGGAGGAGGAAGGGGCGAAGGGGAGGAGTCAAAGGAGAAAGGAAGAGGAAAGGGCGAAGGGGAGGAGCGGAAGGAGGTGTCGTGTGCGGCGATCGACTGGGCTGTAGTCATGTCTGTTGCTGATGCTTCCTTGTGGTTGGTGGATGCTACAGAGAGGGGCGAGGGGATGGAGGAGGCGAAGAGGGTGGGGGAGGAGAGGATGGTGGGGGAAAAAGGGAGAATGGGAGAGGAGAGAAGGAGAGAAATGGCGCTAGAGGAAAGGATGAGAGAGGAGAGGAGAGTTGGGGAGGAGGGGGGAGCACAACCAGGAACCAAAGAACAAGAGGGACGAGGAGAGGAAAGGAACAGGCAAGGAGAAGAGCAGGGCGAGCAAGGGGGAGGAGACAGAGGATCTAGAGACGAGCAGGGGCGTGGTGCGTTGCGCTGTGAGCAACAGCAGCAGCAGCAAGGGCTGAGAGTGCTGGGGAGGCACATGCAGAGACAGAGTCGGGAGGAGCAACTGGCAGCAGTGGAGCGGATGAGAGGGTGTGTGGTGGTGGCCAGGCACACTGGGTGGCTGTACCGTGTGTCTCGGGGGGAGGTGGGGCGGGATGAGGGTAAGAGGGAAGAGGGGAAGAATGGGGAGGGGGGAGGGGAGGGCCGGGCGGAGGAGGGTGGAGGAGAGGGCGTGTTGACAGCTCTGAGTCCCTTCCCTAATAAAAGCTATGCCACGTTCGAGGAGTATTTCAGGGAGAGGTAGGCTGTGTGTGAGAGAGTGAGAGAGTGAGTGAGTGTGAGTGTGTGCGTGAGTGAGTGTGAATGTGTGCATGAGTGAGTGTGAACGTGTGCATGAGTGAGTGTGAAGGTGTGCATGAGTGAGTGTGAATGTGTGCATGAGTGAGTGTGAATGTGTGCATGAGTGAGTGTGAATGTGTGCATGAGTGAGTGTGAGTGGGTGCGTGAGTGAGTGTGAATGTGTGCATGAGTGAGTGTGATTGTGTGCATGAGTGTGTGTGTGTGTGTGTGAGAGTGTGAATGTGTGCATGAGTGATTGTGTGTGTGTGTGTGTGTGAGTGAATGTGAATGCGTGCATGAGTGTGAATGTGTGCATGAGTGAGTGTGAGTGTGTGCGTGAGTGAGTGTGAGTGGGTGCGTGAGTGAGTGTGAGTGTGTGTGTGTGAGTGACCTTCACCGAAATCATGCGCCCTAGACTTTTCATTCGAATCCCTGTTTCTTACCAGGCAAGGTGTGCAGCTGGTGTGCCCCCATCTCCCTCTGCTGCAGATGCAAGCACATTGTGCGGCTGGTGTGACCTTAACCCTTAAATCATGTGCTTCTCGTCTTAAACCATGTTCCCTGCCAGGCACGGTGTGCGGCTGGTGTGCCCCCATCTCCCTCTGCTGCTCATGCGCACACTGCCCTCTGCCAAGGCATGCCTCAAGCCCCCCTCGCCAAACGACATGCCCAAAGGTGAAGCAGTGGTGGTGGCAAGGGAGTGGTGAGGCATGGGAAGGCTGTGGTGGTGGGGCATTTGGAAGAAATGGGGTAATGCGGCAGCAGTAGATTGCGTGTGCACCTGCCTCTGCTGCTCATGCGCCCGCTTCCCTCTGCCAAGGCTTGCCTCAGACCCCCGTCGCAAAACGACATCCCCAAAGGTGGTGCATGCAGCGGTTGTGAGGAAGTCGGCAGGCTTCCAATCATGTCCTCTCCGCTCTACCCAGGCTGCCCTTGCTGCTGCCCTCTGTGCTGTTCCTTTACCACATCGATTTGTGCTCAACCTTCTTACTGTTTCCGTCCTCCCTCCCAACCCCACACCCACCCCTCCCCCTCCCCCCGTTACTCCTGCAGCCTCCAACACCATTCCTGCATCCTCCAACACCATTCCTGCATCCTCCAACACCATTCCTGCAGCCTCCAACACCATTCCTGCAGCCTCCAACACCATTCCTGCAGCCTCCAACACCATTCCTGCATCCTCCAACACCATTCCTGCATCCTCCAACACCATTCCTGCATCCTCCAACACCATTCCTGCAGCCTCCAACACCATTCCTGCAGCCTCCAACACCATTCCTGCAGCCTCCAACACCATTCCTGCATCCTCCTCCTCTGCCTCCTCCTCCTCTCGCCCCTTCTCCGTGCTGCTTCCCCCCGAGCTGTTCCATCCGCTCATGGCCTTCCCTCCCTACCAGGCTGCCTCGCTGATTCCGTCTCTGCCGTTCCTTCCCCACAACTACCAGTCCTCACCCTACTTCTCCTCCCGTTTCCCTCCTCCCTCCCAACCCCACCCCCACAACCCCCCCCCTCTCCCCCCGTCACTCCTGCAGGCTTCAAGTCCACTTCTCCACCCTCCTCCGCCTCCTCTCGCCCCTTCTCCGTGCTTCTCCCCCCCGAGCTGCTCCATCCGCTCATGGCCTTCCCTCTCTACCAGGCCGCCTCGCTGCTGCCCTCCGTGCTGCACCGCCTGCACGGGTTGCTGCTAGCAGGGGAGTTGAGGGACAGGATAGGGCGAGAGGCACAGATGGAAGGGGTGCTCTCCAAGCTTCCTGTGGCTAGGGTGAGTGTGATTCGGTGGAGAGTGGTTCAGAGGGATTGTGAATGGTGGTTCCCTCGCTGCTGCCCTCTGTGCTGCACCACCTGCACGGGTTGCTGCTAGCAGGGGAGTTGAGGGACAGGATAGGGCGAGAGGCACAGATGGAAGGGGTGCTCTCCAAGCTTCCTGTGGCTAGGGTGAGTGTGATTCGGTGGAGAGTGATTCAGAGGGATTGTGAATGGTGGTTCCCTCGCTGCTGCCCTCCGTGCTGCACCGCCTGCACGGGTTGCTGCTAGCAGGGGAGTTGAGGGACAGGATAGGGCGAGAGGCACAGATGGAAGGGGTGCTCTCCAAGCTTCCTGTGGCTAGGGTGAGTGTGATTCGGTGGAGAGTGGTTCAGAGGGATTGTGAATGGTGGTTCCCTCGCTGCTGCCCTCTGTGCTGCACCGCCTGCACGGGTTGCTGCTAGCAGGGGAGTTGAGGGACAGGATAGGGCGAGAGGCACAGATGGAAGGGGTGCTCTCCAAGCTTCCTGTGGCTAGGGTGAGTGTGATTCGGTGGAGAGTGATTCAGAGGGATTGTGAATGGTGGTTCCCTCGCTGCTGCCCTCCGTGCTGCACCGCCTGCACGGGTTGCTGCTAGCAGGGGAGTTGAGGGACAGGATAGGGCGAGAGGCTCAGATGGAAGGGGTGCTCTCCAAGCTTCCTGTGGCTAGGGTGAGTGTGATTCGGTGGAGAGTGGTTCAGAGGGATTGTGAATGGTGGTTCCCTCGCTGCTGCCCTCTGTGCTGCACCGCCTGCACGGGCTGCTGCTAGCAGGGGAGTTGAGGGACAGGATTGGGCGGGAGGCTCATATGAAAGGAATTATTTCCAACCTTCCTGTTGCTAGGGTGAGAAATGTTTGGTGGGACTGTGACTGGTGGTTGGACTAGGGGCTAGGGACTGTGACTGGTGGTTCCTGCCCTGCTGCACTCGCTGCTGCCCTCTGTGCTGCACCGCCTGCACGGGCTGCTGTTAGCAGGGGATTTGAGGGACGGGATGGGGCGGGAGGCGCAGATGGAGGAGATGCTTTCCAACCTACCTGTGGCTAGGGTGAGTCAAATGTAAGGTTTAGGGTTTAGGGTTCAAGGGTTAGGGTTTAGGGTCGAGAGGCGCAGATGGAGGAGATGCTTTCCAACCTACCTGTGGCTAGGGTGAGTCAAATGTAAGGTTTAGGGTTTAGGGTTTAGGGTTTAGGGTCGAGAGGCGCAGATGGAGGAGATGCTTTCCAACCTACCTGTGGCTAGGGTGAGTCAAATGTAAGGTTTAGGGTTTCGGGTTTAGGGTTTAGGGTTTAGGGTCGAGAGGCGCAGATGGAAGAGATGCTTTCCAACCTACCTGTGGCTAGGGTGAGTGTGGTTTAGGGGGAATGTGACTGGTGCTGCCCTTGCTGCTGCCTTCCTAGCATCAATCGCATTCGTGACAAAGCCACGCACTACGTTCACTCCTCCATACCTGTCTGTGTCCTTCACCTCTCTCTCTTTTCAGCTCCTGCAGGCAATAACAGCTTACTCCACGGGGGAGGGTTTCTCCTACGAGAGGGATGAGCTGCTGGGGGACTGCTTCCTCAAGGCGGTGCTCAGCTCACATCTATTCAGTCTCCCTCTTCCTCCCTCTCCTTCTCCAAACCCTCTCTGCAGCTCCTGCACGCCATAACGGCCTACTCCACAGGCGAAGGTTTCTCCTACGAGAGGGACGAGCTGCTGGGGGATTGCTTCCTCAAGGCGGCGCTCAGCTCACATCTTTTTCGCGAGCTGCCCGGCGCGCACGAGGGCGTGCTGACTCAGCGCCGCACCGACGCTATCAGCAACGAGGCTCTGCTTTCGACTGCCAGGGAGAAGAAGCTGCATGTGAGTAGGGATATAGCAGAAAGAACTGGTGGGTGGGTCAAGCGAGTTTAATGATGGAGCTGCCTGGCGCGCATGAGGGTGTGCTGACTTAGCGGTGCACCGATGCTATCAGTAATGAGGCGCTGCTTTCGACCGCCATGGACATGAAGCTGCATGTGAGTAGGGCGATAGCAAAACTGGTGGATGGGTCTGTTAGTGGGTCTAGTGGGCCAGTGGGTGCTTTGCAATGCGCACGACGAGGGCATGCCGAGTAACTAATGGGTTGAGTGGCTCGAGTGGAATGGATATGAAGCTGCATGTGAATAGGGAGAAAGTTCAGCGGAACAGGTGGCTCGGGTGGGTCTAGTGGTTCTAGTTGGTCTTGTGGGTCTTGTGGGTCTAGTGGGTCTAGTGGAACTGGAGATGCATGTGCATGTGATGAGTTCATGTCATAATGCACTCCTCTCCCTCTGTCTCACTCTCGCTGTCCGTTCTCCAAGAGTATTTGCGAACGGAGATATTCACAGCAGGGAAGTGGCATGTGCCAGGCGTTGCCCCTCGCTGCTTTTCACCTCTTCTTCTCATTCCCTGGCAAAGGGGAAGGTGAAAAGCAACGAGGAGCAATGCCTGGCACATGCCACTTCCCTGCTGTGAATATCCCATTTCGCAGATACTCCTGCCAAGAGACATTGGGGATAAAGTGAGAGGAGTTTATTGGGACCGAGAAGGGGAAGGTGAAGCAGCAAAAGACAATGCCTAGCACATGCCACTTCCTTGCCCTGAATATCACAGTTCGCAGATACTCCTGCTGAGAGACATTGGGGGATAAAGTGAGAGGAGTGTATTGGGACTGAGAAGGGGAAGGTGAAGCAGCAAAAGACAATGCCTGGCACATGCCACTTCCCTGCTGTGAATATCCCATTTCGCAGATACTCCTGCTGAGAGATACTGGGGGATAAAGTGAGAGGAGTGTATTGGGACTGAGAAGGGGAGTGTATCTTTTTGCTGCCTCCCTTTGCTCCTCGACTTTGTGTCCGTCTCTCTCCTTCTCTCCTCAGGAGTATCTGCGCACCGGGATATTCACAGCAGGGAAGTGGTATGTGCCAGGTGTTGCCCTCCCAAACCCACAGCATAATCCACCTCCCCTCCTCCCCCTACATCCCCTCCTTCAGGAGTACTGCGTACTGAGATCTTCACGGTCGCCTCGTGAACTGAGACGATTTTTTAGGCGCCTAAAAAACAGCATGATCCACCTCCCCTCCTCCCTTCTTCAGGAGTATCTGCGCAATGGAATCTTCATGGCTGGAAAATGGCACGTGCCAGGTGTTGCTCCTCAGCCCCAAAAACACGAACACCCCTTTCCTCCTTCCCCCACATCCGTTCCGTGCAGGAGTATCTGCGCACTGGAATCTTCGCAGCTGGAAAACGGCACGTGCCAGGTGTTGCCCCTCGCGACTATCCATGCGGGCATGCGCAGCTGAAACAGCAGATGAAGGAGCAGCGAACACAAGGCATGGAGCAGCAGCGGGGATTCAACAGGAGGAGGAGAAAGAAGAAGCCGAAGCAGTGTGTAGCTCAAGGGATCGAGCAAGAGGCAAGGGAAGGGGAGGAGGGGGAGGGTGGAGGGAAGAATGGAGCAGATGAGGAGGAAGAGGAAGAGGGTGACAGATCTGGGGAAGGGGAGGAAGAGGATGAGGAGGGAGAGGAAGGAGAGGAGGAAGAGGAGGGAGAGGAGGGAGAGGAGGGAGAGGATGACGAGGAGGAAGAAGAGGAGGAGGGGGAGGTGGGGGAAGTGGGGGAAGAAGATGAAAGTATTGAAGAGGAAGGAGAGGATACAGAGGAGGGGAGCGAGGAAGAGGAAATGAATGAAGAGGAAGGGGATGAGGAAGAGGAGGAGGAGGAGGAAGACGAGGAGGAAGAGGAGGAAGATAAGGAAGAGGAGGAAGAGGAGGAAGAGCAAGAAGGAAAAGGGGAGAAGGGAGCAGCCTTCAGGAGCAGTGCCAGTGAAACTGAAGAGGTCTGCATTGCTGAAGGCGAAGGTGTTGGGAGCGGTGAAAGCAGCAAGGTGGGAGGAAGCAACCACATGAAAACACTGAACCCACCTCCCCCCTTGGTGGTGGTATCCCCCCCTCCTGTGCGCGTGTCTGGGAAGGCACTAGCGGATCTGGTGGAGGCTCTGGTGGGGTGTGTGTGGGACACGTGTGGGACTGCTGCTGCTACACGTGTCATGAGCTGGTTGGGCCTTCCTGTGGGGCTGTCTGGATTTGAGGGGGCGGATGGGGGTGCAGGAGAGGATGGGAGAGAGGGTGGAGGGGTGTGTAGGGGGATAGGTGGAGGAACGAGTGGAAGTGTGGGTGGAAGTGGGGGAGAGTTTGGAAGAGTGAAGGAACGTGGGGAAGGAAATGCGGGAGGGGATGTGGGGAAGGGTATGGAGAAAGCAGGAGAGGGGATAGGGGCCAGTGCAAGAGGGTTCGGTATAGATGACGTGATGGGGGAGGGAGGTGAGGAGGAGGGAGGAGAGGAGGGGGGAGAGGAGGGAGGAGAGGAGGGAGGCGAGAAGGGGTTGGCAGGAGTGAGGGAGATAGAGGGGGCACTGGGGTACGAGTTCAAGGACAAGCGGCTGGTGCTGGAAGCCCTGACCCACCCCAGCTTCGTCAACTGGGCATCCGATGATGCAGTCACGTGCTACCAGGTGAGAGAGAGGAGAGAGGGGTGAGGGAGATAGAGGGGGCACTGGGGTATGAGTTCAAGGACAAGCGGCTGGTGCTGGAAGCCCTGACCCACCCCAGCTTTGTTAACTGGGCTTCTGATGAAGTTGTCACATGTTACCAGGTGGGGTTATCTGATTATGATGTTGCAGCAAAACCCACTCTGTGACACTTTGCAACAAACCCAACCTCCGCTCCTCGCTGACCTCTCCTTGCTGATCATTGCCTCTCCTTGCTGATCATTGCCTCTCCTTGCTGATCATTGCCTCTCCTTGCTGATCATTGCCTCTCCTTGCTGATCATTGCCTCTCCTTGCTGATCATTGCCTCTCCTTGCCGATCATTGCCTCTCCTTGCTGATCATTGCCTCTCCTTGCTGATCATTGCCTCTCCTTGCTAATCATTGCCTCTCCTCGCTGATCATTGCCTCTCCTTGCTGATCATTGCCTCTCCTTGCTGATCATTGCCTCTCCTTGCTGATCATTGCCTCTCCTTGCTGATCATTGCCTCTCCTTGCTGATCATTGCCTCTCCTTGCTGATCATTGCCTCTCCTTACTAATCATTGCCTCTCCTTGCTGATCATTGCCTCTCCTTGCTGATCATTGCCTCTCCTTGCTGATCATTGCCTCTCCTTGCTGATCATTGCCTCTCCTTGCTGATCATTGCCTCTCCTTGCTGATCATTGCCTCTCCTTGCTGATCATTGCCTCTCCTTGCTGATCATTGCCTCTCCTTGCTGATCATTGCCTCTCCTTGCTGATCATTGCCTCTCCTTGCTGATCATTGCCTCTCCTTACTAATCATTGCCTCTCCTTGCTGATCATTGCCTCTCCTTGCTGATCATTGCCTCTCCTTGCTGATCATTGCCTCTCCTTGCTGATCATTGCCTCTCCTTGCTGATCATTGCCTCTCCTTGCTGATCATTGCCTCTCCTTGCTGATCATTGCCTCTCCTTGCTGATCATTGCCTCTCCTTGCTAATCATTGCCTCTCCTTGCTAATCATTGCCTCTCCTTGCTAATCATTGCCTCTCCTTGCTAATCATTGCCTCTCCTTGCTAATCATTGCCTCTCCTTGCTAATCATTGCCTCTCCTTGCTAATCATTGCCTCTCCTTGCTAATCATTGCCTCTCCTTGCTAATCATTGCCTCTCCTTGCTAATCATTGCCTCTCCTTGCTAATCATTGCCTCTCCTTGCTAATCATTGCCTCTCCTTGCTAATCATTGCCTCTCCTTGCTAATCATTGCCTCTCCTTGCTAATCATTGCCTCTCCTTGCTAATCATTGCCTCTCCTTGCTAATCATTGCCTCTCCTTGCTAATCATTGCCTCTCCTTGCTAATCATTGCCTCTCCTTGCTAATCATTGCCTCTCCTTGCTAATCATTACCACCTCATCACTGCAGAGATTGGAATTTCTCGGCGATGCATTCATCGATTACTTTGTGACACGTCAGCTACACCTGCAGCACCCGCACCAGACGCCACGTCAGCTCACCTTCCGCCGCGCCGCGCTCGTCAACAACGAGAACCTCTCCCGCATTGCCACGTCAGCCGTCTCTTCTTCTGATGCCACGTCAGCAGGGGGATCAGGATTGGCCCTGCACCGCCACATCAGACACTTCTCGGTCCACCTGGGCGGGGAGATTGCAGCTTTTGTCAGGGACAGGGAGGAGAGGAGGGAGCGGGAGAGGAGGAAGTGGAGGGACGACGTCAGGAAAGGAGAGAAGCAGAAGGGTAAGGGAGCAGCAGAAGCAGCAGAGGCAATGGGAGGCAATGGGGGTGGTGGGGGTGCAAGGGTGGGAGGGCGTGGAAGTATGGGGGTTCCTGCAAGTGTGGTAACAGTTGGGGCTGTGAATCGAGCAGGGCTCAGCAGCTTGGAGGTTTCTCACAAAGGATTCGCTGACGGTGCGATGGGGGAAGGGGAGGTGGAGGAGGAGGGAGGAGAGAGGGGGCAGGGGAAGGAGAGGAAGGAGGCGGAGCGAGAGGAGGAAGGGGGAGAGGAGGGGGAAGAGGAGGGGAGGAGGGAGAAGCTGGATGGATATTTTGGGGAGGGCGGAGTGCAGGCTCCTAAGGTGGGTGGCTCTCAAAAGGGGAAGCCTTTCTTTTTCATGGGGAGGTACAGTCTGAGTCAACTCAAAGTCAGCTGGATGGATACTTTGGGGAGGGCGGAGTGCAGGCTCCTAAGGTGGATGGCTCTCAAAAGGGGAAGCCTTTCTTTTTCATGGGGAGGTACAGTCTGAGTCAACTCAAAGTCAGCTGGATGGATACTTTGGGGAGGGCGGAGTGCAGGCTCCTAAGGTGGGTGGCTCTCAAAAGGGGAAGCCTTTCTTTTTCATGGGGAGGTACAGTCTGAGTCAACTCAAAGTCAGCTGGATGGATACTTTGGGGAGGGCGGAGTGCAGGCTCCTAAGGTGGGTGGCTTTTGAGAGGAGGTGCATTCAGGGCTCTTAAAGTGGGTAGCTCCTAAGGTGGGTGGTTCTCAAGGGGAGGGTGCATGTACTGTGGCTGGTTTGGGCTTTTTGGGAAACGCACAGCCTGTTGTTTCCCCTCAGTTCTCGAAAGATCAAAGCATTCCCGCAGTTCTCGATTTCTTCTGATGCTCCTCACCTTTGTCTTTTTCTCGATTCTCACCTTCTTACGTTCTCTCACTTACCTCTCGATTTTTTAGTCGACTCAAATATTTATGCTCCTCACCTTCATCATTTTCTCGGTTCTCATCTTTCCACGTTCTCTCACTCGCCTCTCAACCCCACACTACCCCACACCACCCAGGCCATAGGGGACGTTCTCAAGTCCCTGTGGGGGCAACACTAGTGGACTGTGGGTTTGACACCGAGAGGGTGTGGGCACTCTTCTCCCAGTCCTTACCCGCATAAGCCTGTCTTTCACTCTTCTTCCCTCCTCTCCCCCCTGTTCTTCCATTTCCAACCACCCAGGCCATAGGAGGTGTGCTCGAGTCTCTGGTGGGGGCAACTCTTCTCGACTGTGGGTTTGATACTGAGAGGGTGTGACCCGCTAAACTTTGCCTCTTTCCCTTCTTCCCCACCTCTTCCCCCTGTGTTCCCCAACCACTCAGGCCATAGGAGGTGTGCTCGAGTCTCTGGTGGGGGCAACTCTTCTCGACTGTGGGTTTGATACTGAGAGGGTGTGACCCGCTAAACTTTGCCTCTTTCCCTTCTTCCCCACCTCTTTCCCCTGTGTTCCCCAACCACTCAGGCCATAGGAGATGTGCTCGAGTCCCTAGTGGGGGCAACGCTGGTCGACTGTGCGTTTGATGCAGAGAGGGTGTGACCCGCTTAACTCTGCCTCTCTCTCTTCTTCCCCCCCTTTCCTCCCCGCATCCCCTCACACCACCCAGGCCATAGGAGACGTGCTTGAGTCCCTAGTGGGGGCAACTCTAGTCGACTGTGGGTTTGACACTGAGAGGGTGTGACCCGCTAAACTTTGCCTCTTTCCCTTCTTCCCCACCTCTTCCCCCTGTGTTCCCCAACCACTCAGGCAATAGGAGACGTGCTAGAGTCCCTAGTGGGGGCAACGCTGGTCGACTGTGGGTTTGACACAGAGAGGGTGTGGGCACTCTTTTCCCGCTTCTTCCCCACCCGTGTCACTGCTGCTTCTGTTGTTACCCGCCCGCCCACCTCGCTTTTTTTCGAGCTGACCGGAAAACTGGGGCAGGGCGGGAAGCTGGTGGATGAGAAATGCCGGAAACCTGGGGCAGAAGAAAAGAAAGAGGGAGATGTGGGGTGGGGAGGAAAGAGGAGGAAGGAGGGAGACGGGGAGGTGGATGAGGAAGGAGAAGGGGAGGGAGAGGGGGGAGATGAAGAGGAATGGGGAGAGGAGGAAGAGGGGTGGAGGAGAAAGAGGGAAATGGAATGGTGGAGGTGTAAAGCTTTGGTGGGGGGGAGGGAGATAGCAGTTGCGGTGAGGCCGCACAAGAGTATGGCAAGAAAGGCTGCGGCTGAACTAGCACTTGAAGAAATCAAGAAAATGATGGTGAGTCATTATGATGAATTTTTGCCAGCTAGTATTGGTCATTGCCTCTGGTGTCAACGTGAGTCAACGTGAGTCAACGTGAGTCAACGATAGTCAACTTGAGTAATCGCAAAAGCACAAGAGCATGGCTAGGAAGGCTGCTGCCGAACTAGCACTTGAAGAAATTACGAGACTGATGGTGAGTCATTATGATGAGTGTTGGCTCAGTTCACTAGTATTGGTTGGTCCTTGGCTTGGCTCTGGGCCTGGAGTCAACGTCAGTCAACGTGAGACAACGGCAGTCAACATAAGACGACGTCAGTCAACGCGAGTCAACATAAGTCAACGTTAGTCAACGTGAGTCAACGACTGTCAACTCAAACCACAGTGGTATGGCTAGGAAGGCTGCTGCTGAGCTGGCACTTGAAGAGTTCAAGAGAGTGATGGTGAGTCGTGATGAGTATTTGGCAACTACGTTTGGTCCTTTGTTGTAGAGTCAACATAAGTCAATGCGAGTCAATGCGAGTTAATGCGAAGCACAAGAGCATGGATAGGCAGGCTGTTGCTGAGCTGGCACTAGAAGAGATCAAGCGACTGAGGGTGAGTGATCATGATTCATGATGAGTATTTGCCCACTGGTATTGGTTGTTCCTTAGCCCTGGAGTCAACGTGATTCAACGGGAGTCAACCATAGTCAAGTCAACTCAAACCACAGGGGCATGGATATCAAGGCTGTTGCTGAGCTGGCACTTGAAGAGTTCAAGAGAGTGATGGTGAGTCGTGATGAGTATTTGCCCACTGGTATTGGACCTTTAGCTCTAAAGTCAACATGAGTCAATGCCAGCACAGGAGCACGGATAGGAAGGCTGCTGCTGAGGTGGCACCAGAGGAGATCAAGGGACTGATGTCTAGTTTAACTGGTAACTTCCAAGACAGTAACTAAATTCAACTGGAATGGACTCAGCATGACTGCTTGACTGGATCCTTCTTTATTTGTAACACCTTGTCTCTGTGACTTGCAGGAAAACGGCACGTTGAATCCACAGAAGACGAGGCAGAAGCGGAAGACGCAAAGCAAGAAGTTGAAAAAGAACAAGAGTCTGAAGGTCCGGGAGCAAACGGTTTCACTACAGCCGAAGCAAGGGGAACAGCAGCAGCAGCAGCAGCAGAAGCAGCGGCAGCAACAGCAACAGCGGCAGCAGCAGGGGTTGCGGCAGCAGCAAGAGCAACAGCAGCGGCAGGAGCAGCAGCAGCAGCAATCTGAACAGCGGCATATAGCATCACAGCCGAAGCAGGGCGCAGCAGCAACACCTCCACCAGTTGCAACAGCAGCAGCAGCAGCAGCGGCAGCAGCATCAGCAGCAGCAGCTGCATAGGTGCAAGCAGCAAATTGTTCGCACACAAAAGAAAAGCCTCGGGCATTAGTAGTGCAAGTGCAAGCAGCAGCAGCACAGACAGCAGCAGCACAGACAGCTGCAGCACAGGCAGCTGCAGCACGGACAGCTGCAGCACAGGCAGCAGCAGCAGCACAGACAGCAACAGCACAGACAGCAGCAGCACAGGCAGCAGCAGCACAGGCAGCAGCAGCACAGGCCGCAGCAGCACAGGCAGCAGCAGTGATACTACAACAGCGACAGCAGCAACAGCAGTGTGAGCGGCAGCAGCAGCAGGAGCAATCGCAGCACCAACAGCAACAACAGCAGCATCACTGGGCAGTGGTGACAAGTGCTGCTCGCTTTGACCCACCTACCCCTCCTCTCTCCCATTCCATCCCACACCCCCTCTCGCTCCACGACCCTTCATCAATTTCCCCTTCAATCCCCCCTAATCAATGTGATGATCCCGTTACTGCTGGAGGTTGGGGAACCTCAGGCTCGGAATCTCCACAGCTCAGGTGTGAAGGCTTGGTGCGGCCAGGCTCGGCAGGTGGTGGTGTGGCTCGGGAGCCGCAGGTTCGGGAGAAGAGGGTGAGTGAGAGAGTGGATGACCTGTGGGGTGATCAGAGAAGAGTGGGCATATCACCATCACTACCACCAGCAGCACCACCAGCAGCATCACCAGCAGCACCACCAGCAGCCGCAGCAGCAGCAGCATTACCAGCAGCAGCACCAGGAGCAGCACCAGCAGCAGCATTACCAGCAGCAGCACGAGCATCAGGACTACCAGCATCAGCAGCAGCAGCACGAGCCGCTCCTCAAGACCTGTCCACCAGCATCACACAACCAGCATCAGCACGAGCAGCAGCAGCAGCAGCAGCAGCAGCAGCAGCAGCAGCAGCAGCAGCAGCAGCACAAGCGCCAGCATCACAGTCAGTACAAGTGCCAGCAGCAGCAGCAGCAGCCCGTCCCCAGGCCTTGCCTGTTCGCCAAGCCACCACACAAACAGCATCAACAGCAGCATTACCAGCAGCACCACGAGCATCACCAGCACTAGTTGCAGCAGCAACAGCCCGTCCCCAGGCCTTGCCTGTTCGCCAAGCCACCACACAAACAGCATCAACAGCAGCATTACCAGCAGCACCACGAGCATCACCAGCACTAGTTGCAGCAGCAACAGCCCGTCCCCAGGCCTTGCCTGTTCGCCAAGCCACCACACAAACAGCATCAACAGCAGCATTACCAGCAGCACCACGAGCATCACCAGCACTAGTTGCAGCAGCAACAGCCCGTCCCCAGGCCTTGCCTGTTCGCCAAGCCACCACACAAACAGCATCAACAGCAGCATTACCAGCAGCACCATGAGCATCACCAGCACTAGTTGCAGCAGCAACAGCCCGTCCCCAGGCCTTGCCTGTTCGCCAAGCCACCACACAAACAGCATCAACAGCAGCATTACCAGCAGCACCACGAGCATCACCAGCACTAGTTGCAGCAGCAACAGCCCGTCCCCAGGCCTTGCCTGTTCGCCAAGCCACCACACAAGCAGCATCAACAGCAGCAGCAGCACAAGCAAGATCGCGAGCACCAGTCCTTCCTCAAGCCCTGCATATTCGAGAGGTCTCCAGACAAGCAGCACCAGCAGCACCAGCAGCACCAGCAGCACCAGCACCAGCAGCAGCACCAGTAGCAGCACCAGTTGCAGCACCAGCAGCAGCACGAGCAGCACCACCAGTAGCAGCACCAGTTGCAGCACCAGCAGCAGCACGAGCGCTTTCTCAGGCCCTGCCAATCCGACAGGCCACCACACGGGCAACACTCAGAAGGCTCGTCACAGCAACCGGTGCGTATCCATGGCTATCATGCCTATCATGGATATTATGGATATGATGGGTATCATGGGTATCATGGGTATCATGGCTATCATCTACCATGCCTGTCATGCCTATCATGCCTATCATAGCTATCATGCCTGTCATGGGTATTATGGGTATCATGGGTATTATGGATATCATGAATATCATGGGTATCATGGGTATCATGAATATCATGGCTATCATGCCTATCATGCCTATCATGGCTATCATGCCCACCATGGGTATCATATCTTTGAATATTATAACAGTTTGTAGGCACCTCAAAAGCCAACCAAGGACTCCCTAGTACTATTTTCCAGTGTCCTACTCTTGTAATTCCGCGTGTCCTCTAATTGTCCAAATGCCTCACCAAATCGTCCTTGCTCTTGCATTTTGTTCTCATTGTTTTCTCCCAGGCTTCCTAGGCAGCCTTGAAAACTCACCGTTCTTGTCTCACGTTCCCCTCCCCCTTCTGTGTGTTTTTCAGGTATTAATTGCTACAGCTGGACAAGAATCTTTGAGCCAGATGTCCACTCTAAGAGCGTCTCACTACAAGCTCTAAACGAGTTGGCAGTAGCAATGTGTTCCCAAGTCTCGTGGATGGATAACTACTCTTTTGGGAGCACTTTGCAGCACACCTCCGTTCTTTCTGTTCGTATTGACGGGCAGATTGTACAGTTTGTTGGATGTGGAGCTGCCAAAAAAACAGCTAGGAGTGCTGCTGCCCGAGAGTTTCTTGCAGCTATCCGGGCGCATGTAGATATGCAATGCTAACATGGGTCACGCATAGTATTTTAGCAGTCCAACAGCGATTGAGCACGATGTGCATCATAGAGAAATTTGCTCACTTTGCCGCTTTGAAGTGGTACAACATCAGTCTGGACTATTGATACATTAGTTGGAAACACATCTAGTGTGACCTGCCCTTCATACACTTATTGTGTAACCGATGTTAGCAAGCAGTTCATTCTCATTCTGGATATGTGACTACCATGACTGGCTGGTGTATTCATTACAACATTCGATTTTAAAAAGGGGCAACGCAGGGGGCGTGGCTGCGTGCAGTCGCCAATTTGGAAATGCACGAACGCGTTCACTGTGGGTCACAAGTGTACGGCCAAAGCACGGCAGTTTGTGGCGGTTGCAACGACGCTTGGAAATGCTGCTCGTCCTGTCTGGTCCAGTTTTGTCTGGTCCTTCAATGCAGCATTGGAGAAATGCGGCGCGTGATTTCACCACGTTTTTTTGTTTTCCCGAAGAGACGCGTCATCACGTGCGAATAAACTGTATTTTAGAAAATTCAGCCAGGTACATTCTATATTCGGCTCGGTTCACTTCTGGAGAAAGCGTACACAAGAAGATGCAATTCGGTTGGGTAAAACCAGCCATTTCACATTCTTCACCTGCTACTTCGTTTGTGTCTTCTACAGTAGTACGGAACAAGAGGGGATGTTGGGGAAGAACATGTTGGTGCCAAAGAGTGCAACTGGGACGCAGAGTCCTGCACCTGCCCAACGTCCGCGAGTCGCCTGTCGTTCACACAGAACACGTGGGGTCTCAGGTCATGGTCATGGATATATACGAGTACAGTGCCTAGAATATTGTTAAATAGGTTCGTGTGTTCTAATTGTTTTGGAAACTCACGATAATGCCGCAAACTCTTCCATCCAAATATGCAACATATGTCTTTTCATCGAATTGCGTCTGTGAAAACATATGCAAGAGCAGCTAGCCATGTTTTGGGTAAACTACTCTATTTTGTATTTGCGGCTGCACTGGCTTCCAGGCTCCAGCATGACAAGGGTCGCTGTGGTGTTGGATTCGCGGCTGGGCTCATCCACATCATCGCCTCACGAACTTTAATTAGAAGCTTCGTTTTTAGTTGTGGAAGCCAAGTGCAGGAGCTTGGTCGCCCAGGAGAACGAAATCACATCAAACACCCAATTCTGTTGTGGCTTGTCTACGAAGTCGCCGGTGACCGTTTGGCTTGGCAGCCGAAAAAGGCTGGTTTGATGGTTATGCTAATGACAACAGATTTGGTGCCCAGCTGTCACCCCACTATGTATTTCAAGAAGCAATGGGTTGTTTGGCGGATGGCGTTAATTTCGCATGGTAAATGACGTTATTTTTGGAGCAGCCAAGTGCTTGTGGTGTACTCACTCACAACCTTGACATTTCTGTGTAAATATAATTTCCAGCCTATCTTAGCGGCCCGGCTTTTCCGTACCTGTCATGATTTATGGAGCTTGCAAGTCGTACAAACCTGTGGTACCCCTTCAAGCGTGGTCGTGATCAGCCCACCCCCAGGCCACCTTTGGAAAACGAAGAGCCCAGCGAAGTAGTTACATGTTACCGCTTCGGTGACCTCAGCGTCTCACCGCTCGACGAAACCCAGACCTCCTGTATCGAGTCTGTTTAGAGTTGGTTGATGATTGCAGCATTTTTTCGCCCCTTGTGGCGACTGGCAGTCTGGATGACCAACTGGCAGCAACGGCGTCACATGTCACGTGATGTTCTCTCGGCGTGCGGGGTTGACAATGCTGGTTCCAGCACGCTCAACCAAACAGTGGCAGCATGGCGGAGGAAACAATCACGCGACGCCATCCATCCAGCTTTCACATTCACGATTCCCAAATCCTCGATTCACCCACAAGCCCTAATCTGTGCAATTTGATTGCGGTAACCGTACTCAAACCCCGGATCTAGCCTCTAGCCTCCTTACTCTACCTGTTGGCATTGACCCGCCACCATCAGCGCCGCACTCCATCGCGGTGATCAATGATGCAGGGAAGCACATGCCTACCCCGTGCCCTATGCCCCGATCTCGATCATATTGTTTTGGCGCCAGTTCGGTATGCTGGGCATCACTCCCCGCGCCGCACCACCAACCACTCTCCCTAAAGCCCCCTGTCATTGTGGATGCCTCGCATTCAAATTCCCCACGCCACCCAATTTTTTCCCGCCAGCTCCAAGCTTACAGTGTGGCTTCTCGAAGCCCCACGAGGTCGCCAGCGCAGCAGCTGGAACGCCAGCGCGGCAGCACGTGCCGCCGTTGCGAGTTGCGGCTGTGTGGCCCTCCATCTCCCTCCGATCTGCCTCATAACCCTTGCTACAGTAACTCCCTCCTCCCCTCATCCTCTCGACTCGTACCAACCAACCAAACCAGCACGCTTGAGTTGTGGATAGATAAATAACTCCCGTCCCTCTCAAGTCTCTATCGGCAGTATTTCGTCTCCTCCTTTTGATCACAAATCACCATCCTAACGACTTTCGGTTAGCCAGTTTTCCCTCAGTTCTTCCTCAGCTTGTGGCTCTTGTCGCTTGTCTCCCACTCGCTATCACTTCGACGTTCCAAAGGCTATTCCGCAAGTAAATAAAGGAGCCGTCCTCTCTCCTTCGTTCTAACCAGCACCTCGTCATATCACTCTCACGCATTACCTGTCAAGCCTATCGATTACCTAGCCTATTCCAACGATCAAGTTAGACAATTGTTCCTCATGGCGTCTCCTAGCTTCGCTTTCTCGTGCAAACCGGCGGAAGTTAGTCGTGTTAACGCAGACGCTATATCGCCTAGAATGCCTGATGCTTCGGATAATTCACACAGCTGTTCACAGGACCCCTTCTCGACGCTTCCAGACGAACTTGTTATCGATATCCTCTCCCGGACCGGCAGCGGCGCGTCCGACGTGGCAGCCACCTCGCTAACCTGTCGCCGGTTCCACAGCCTTTCCCGTTTCCTCCCTGCCCTCTGCTTCGGCCCTGCGGACGTGTCGCGTTCCCATTCGTCGTCGTCGTTCCGCCACTCGCCGGCCATCCAGCTCGAAGAGCTTGTATCGCGGATGGTTCTGAAATCGCAGGAGCTGGAGCACCTCCACGTGGCATCAGCCTTCGCTGCGCCACAATCCGTGTGCCCGTCCTGCGGCGACACGTCTTGCGGCGGGAAATGCGCTCACCACTGCTGCTGCGGATGCGGCTGCGACGCTCGCCAGCAGCATCACCCGCGCGAATTCATTTTCGAAGCGTGGATGCGCCACGTCGGGTCGCATCTCAAGTCCCTCGTCCTCTCCCGAGCTCTCCAGGGGGCCGCCGCGTCTCACGCCGCAGGGGACGCCGCAACAACAGTCAACGTTTGGGAGAACGAGGATCTGAGCTTGCATCTGCGCCACGTGGCAAAATACTGCACGTCGTTGCGATCGCTCTCTCTGGGTTCGCTGTCGCTGTCGTCGTCGCTCCTCTCGTCGCCCACCTCTCGCCTGCCAACCATGCGACACTTGGAGCACCTGTCGCTCTCCTGGATTCACGCGTCCACTGAGAGCCTCCAGGCCATCCTCGACGCGGCGCCTAACCTCCGCCGCCTCTCAATTTTCATGGCCACGGGCAGCCCGCGGATAAATCTTCGCCTGCCCGCTACACTGGAGCATGTCGAGCTGGCGTACATGCGCGCCGAGTCGTGCACGCTTTCGAACGCGCGCTCCCTCCGCTCGCTCTCCGTCCGCGACATGTTCATCCGCTCCGTCCAAATTCACGGCGCTTCGGATCTTCGCCACGTGGCAGTCGCGAGCGCGAGTCTGCTGGAAATCACCGCCCCGGAGTCGGCGAAAATCTCGTCGCTCAATCTGAAAGCGGGGTCTTTCTGCTGGACGGCGATGCAGACGCTTGTGCAATCCAACGGTTCAGAACTCACCTCCTTGTCTCTGGACTTCTTCTCGGCAGGTTTGGGTGCCCTTACCTCGAGCATCTTCTCCCTGACATGGCTCGCAGCTATGTGTCCGAACCTGAAGGCGCTCAGCTTCGGCGCGCTGCCGTGGCAGCTGGTCGTGTCCTGGGCTGTGGCCTCAGGGGTGCTCCAGTCCGCCGGCGCTGCCACGTCAGCGCGGTGGCCGCAGCTGGAGGAGCTAAAGGTGAAGGTTCAGGACCAGCGGCCCGAGGCTCTGCTGCTGCTTCACGCGGTGCTGCTTCGGATGCCGAATCTGCAGCTGCTGCAAGTGGCAGCTTCGGTAGAGGAGGAGGAGGAGGAAGAAGAGGTTGACGGGGAGTGGGAAGAGGAGGAAGAGGAGGAGGAAATGGGAGAGGAGGATATGTTGATGGAGGAAGAGGAGAAGGGAGAGTATCTGACCACACTGAATGATGAGGCCGAGATGGCCGAGATGGACGAGGGAGAGGAGTACGAGGAAGAGGAGGGCGAGGATGAATGCATGCAACAAGAGGAGGTGGAGGAAGAAGCAGAGGACGGCGAGGAAGCAGTTCCGGAACGATTCCGTCGAAGCGTTGTGATCGCGCATGGCGGTTCAGCCTTCCTCAGAAGAGCCGCACCTGCAGTGGAATACCGCGACCAGGAATACCACGCGAAGGCAGCGAGCAAGCAGGAGCTGTTTATGAAGGGGTTGATGTGCCTGCAGCAGCGATTTTCCCGGGTAAACTTGTGCCTACCAGTCCTGTACAGATCGAGCAGCGCGTGAGTGAGCTCCGCGGCAGTCACGGTCTGCTGCTGCGTCAGCTAATAACGAAACGCGTGCTTGCATGGGCTTATACTAGTCAGGTTGTAGATACACCCTTTTTGTAGTGACACTTTGAGTAATATTATTTTATTCATTCTTCTTTTCCCCACAAGAGATGCTGAGAATTTTAGGCAACCATAATGAGGCCCCATCAACCAATCTTGGCTAGGCAAGGCACCCAGTTTGTACAAGGAGAACGAATCTAATTCAACTGGCCAAATTGTCAAAGAGAGATGAGATTGGCCAAAATTTTGGGTGCCAACCAAGCCAAGGTTAAACCAATTTGAAGTTCTTGCCCCGTGGGTTATAAATGGATGTAATTATTCTCTGCCATGAGCATGCATTGGTTCAAGGCTACTAACATGACTCCAGTGTTTCTGACCCTTCATACACAAATATTTAGGAGCTCAGATTCAAATAACATGCTCCAAAAATATCCTCCATAACACCTCTACGGAAGCTGCCGAAGCAGGGAGTTAGGGCAGGGCAGGGAAGTAGTTGCAAACAGTAGCTATAGTGACCATCTGCTGTAGCAAGCAGCAGCAGCAGCAGCAAGCACGCTCCAAGGCACGAAAGCTGGCAAACAAGGTCTACAGAGCTGCTGCAGCTGCTGGGGTCTGGGAGGACGGCGGAGGTTGTAGCAGCAGCTGTAGCGAGCGTGCTGCCAGTCTCTGCAGCAGACCGGTAGCAAAGTCCGATCCCATCTCCCTCACCTCCTCCTGTTGCAGCACCTGAGGGATAACAGATGGGTGACAAGCGGTTGGAATGGGGTTTGAATCGGGTAAAACATCTGCCAACCTCTGCAGCAAACCTGTGGCGAAGTCTGACCCCATCTCCCTCACCTCCTCCTGTTGCAGCACCTGTGAAGTGTAACAGAGGGGGGAGCAAGCGGTGAAGATGGGTTTTGAGGTGTCCTAAACTCTATGTCAAATTAAGATGAGGAGAAGGAGACATGTCCTTCTCTCCCACTCACATCCACTCACACAAACAAACAGCTCTCTCCCACTCACATCCACTCACACAAACAAACAGCTCTCTCCCACTTACATCCACTCACACAAACAAACAGCTCTCTCCCACTCACATCCACTCACACAAACAAACAGCTCTCTCCCACTTACATCCATACACCATTACAGCAGTAACTGACCCACATCCACTCACATCTCTCTCCCACTCACACAAGCATTATCCCTCTCTTCCATTCACATCCACACCATCACATCAATTCTTCCACACAGTACCACAACACCCACTCACACAGGGACAATCTGTCTCACCCATCGCATTCACTCGCACGAGCATCATCCCTCTCTCCCAATCACACCCACACCATCACATCAACCATTCACCGCACAGCACCAGTATAGCACAGCACTCACATCGACCAGTGGAAGCAAGCTCGCCGGGTCAAACCCATCCGAACTCCTCAGCAGAGCCCAGCACCGCAGCACCTGAGCCCGCAGCTCCACCATCTCCTCCATACCCCCTCATACTCACAACCAAATTGAACAGTTGATTCAACACACACCACAGCACCCACTCACATCAACCAGCGGAAGCAGGCTTGCCGGATCAAACCCATCCGAAGTCCTCAGCAGAGCCCAGCACCGCAGCACCTGCGCTCTCAACTCCACCATCTCCTCCATACTCCTCCCTCTCGCATCCCCCCTCCCCGCTCCCCTCCCCACCCCCGCACTCCCTCCCGCACCTCCACTCCCACCCGCACCCCCACCGCCCCCTCTCGCCGCCTCCAAAGCCTCTCGCAACGGCACCAGCGGTCGGGGAAGCAGCGCGGTGGTAACCGCATCTGGTAACACTTCCATCGCCCCATCCACAGCCCCGGCCACCAGCAGCGCCTCTGCAACCCTCACCCCTTCAGCCACCACCAGTGCTCTCAGCGGCCTTCCCTCGGGGCCTAGGATGAGGGCCATGAGCGGCTGGAGGGCATCGGTTGTCTTGTAGTCGCGGTCCCGCTGCCCCTGCGTGAGGAGGTTCTCGAGGCGCGACCAGCGGAAAACACCGTCTTTGAAAAGAAGCTCGATTAGAGCGTCACGCAGGTAAGGGTTTGGGTCGGTGAGGAGGCGCTTTGCCATGTAGGGATAGGCCGCTGCTAGGACCTGCGATGGGGGAAGAGCGGGTGGGGGAGGGGTGGAGGGGAACAGCTCGATTAGAGCGTCGCGCAGGTAGGGGTTTGGGTCGGTGAGAAGACGCTTTGCCATGTAGGGATAGGCCGCTGCTAGGACCTGTGATGGGGGAAGAGCGGGTGGGGGAGGGGTGGAGGGCAACAGCTCGATTAGAGCCTCGCGCAGGTAGGGGTTCGGGTCGGTGAGGAGGCGCTTGGCCATGTAGGGGAATGCTGCTGCGAGCACCTGTTGGGTGAGTGGGAGAAAAAGGGGAAGAGGAGGAGCAGGAGGGGAACAAAGAGGTAAGGAGGTTCTCGAGGCGCGACCAGCAAAGAATCCCAGGACGTCGCGCAGGTAGGGGTTTGGGTCGGTGAGGAGGCGCTTGGCCATGTAGGGATAGGCCGCTGCGAGCACCTGTTGGAGTGTGGGTCAGGAACAGGGGAAAGCAGCGGCGCGGCACGAGATTAGAGGAGAATGATGTAGGGGAGAAAGAGTGAGGAGGGGTCACGCTGCCACTGCGTGAGGAGATTCTCGAGGAGACAACATCGGTCTCTCTGTCCGCATCGGTTGTCTTGTAGTCGCGGTCACGCCGCCCCCGAGTGAGGAGGATCTCGAGGCGCGACCAGCGGAAAACCCCGTCTTTGAAAAGAAGCTCGACTAGGGCGTCCTTTCAAGGGTTCGGGCCGGTGAGGAGGAGCTTCGGTGGGTATGCTGCTGCGACCTGGGGGGGTCAGGGTCAGGGTCAGGGCCAGGTTCGGGTTTCGAGGGGGGGAGTGTGAGGGTGGGGGGGAGGCAATGAGGCGGGTCGGTCAGGAGGTGTTCGGCTAAGTAGGGATATGCTGCGTCGAGGACCAGAGATGGATGGGTGGGAGGGTGGTTGGAGGAGAAGCAAGAGGAAGGAGTTTTGAGGCGCCTCAAAAGTTGGTCAGGAGGTGTTCGGCTAAGCAGGGGTATGCTGCGTCTATTTTTTGAGAATTCTCAGAAAAGGACCAGAGATGGATGGGCTGTCAAAAGCGGACAGGTGGGTTGCGGAGGCCTTATTTCCATCAACTCCGACTCGTGCTGTTTTAGGACTGCGAGACAAACTCCCCCAACTCGTGCTGCCAGCCAGCTAGACGCATCGAGGACCAAAGATGGATGAGTGGGAACGTGGCGGGAGGAGAAGCAAGAGGAAGGAGGAAGTGAACCTCTCTCGCTTCTCTACTGAAGGAGGAAGGAGGGAAAAGGAGTCAGCTTAATCACAAATCGCTTTTGAGAATTCTCAAAAGCAGCTCAATCACAATCCAAACGGACGCTTGGTTGTGAAGCCGCGTCGCGGGCGGCGGGACGAAGGCGGCCTATTTGCGACTTTACGGATCCGTATTTAAGGGCTGACCTTGAAGTTGGGATCGGAATAGAGTGCTAGGCCTTCCGGCGGCACCGTGAGGGAGCGAAACCAACAGGTTGTGGTTGTAACGAGTAGGCTTATAATGGACGCACCTTGAAGTTGGGATCCGAGTAGAGAGCCAGGCCTTCAAGCACCGTGAGAGAGCGGAGGATGAGCGCGTAGTAGGCCGGGACTGGATGGGCGGAAAGGAGAGTGTGACAGGGAAGAAGGCACGAGAGCAAGTAAGGGTGAGCAAGTGCAGACGGGAGTAGAGAGCCAGGCCCTCGAGCACCGTGAGGGAGCGGAGGATGAGTGCGTACGAGGCCGGGACTGGATGGGGCATGGGGGGAAGATAATGAGTAAGGAGGCACAAGAGCAAGTTAGGGTGGGGAGATGGCGGTCGGTCGGAGTAGAGAGCCAGGCCGTCGAGCACCGTGAGAGAGCGAAGGATGAGTGCGTGGTAGGTCGGGACTGGATGCATGGGGGCATGGGGGGAAATGAGGAGGAGGAAAACACAATAGCAAGTTAAGGGGTGGTGGCAGTCGGTCGGAGTAGAGAGCCAGGCCCTCGAGAGCACCGTGAGGGAGCGAAGGATGAGTGCATGGTAGGTCGGGAGGGACTGGACTGATGGGGGCATGGGGGCACATGAGGGGATATGAGGGGATATGAGGGGATATGAGGGGATATGAAGAGGTGGAGGTCGGAGTAGAGAGCCAGGCCCTCGGGCACTGTGAAGGAGCGAAGGATGAGGGCATGGTAGGTCGGGACAGGATGAGGGCATGGGGAGATGGAAAGCGGTGTAGTGGGATGGGACGAGGAAAGAGGTGGGCTGGAAGGAGCAACAAAGGGACACACAAGCACAAGCAAGCTGATCAGCAACTAAAGGGGATCGAAGCAATTAGTCGCCATCAGAAGGGTATACAAGCAAAGCACTCACCATTAAAGGGGTACTGATAGAGCACTGCCCCCAGCCCATCCACTATGGTCTTAAAGTTGAGCTCGCTGACAGTCGCCTGATAGGGAGAGGTGAGGGGCATGGGGGGGGAGAGAAGGGAAGGCCGGCATTGATGGGGCAAACAAGGCAGGCAGGTATTGTAGTATTTTGAGACGTGTCAAAACACTTTTATTATCACGAGCCATCCAGTATTATCAGTTTTATTGTTGTACAGTCAGTAGTATGCAGCACTCCATCCAGCCAACCCCTCTGATTGCCCCATGCACCCAGCCCATCCACTACTATGGTCTTGAAATTGAGCTCACTGACAGTCGCCTGATGGGGAGAGGTGGGGGGCATAGGGGGGGAGAAGGGAAGGCAGGCATTGATGGGGCAAGCAAGGCAGGAAGGCATTATTGTATGGTCAGCAGCACTCCATCCAGCCAACCCCCTCTGGTCGGTCCCAATCCCAGCCCATCCACTATGGTTTTGAAATTGAGCTCGCTGACAGTCGCCTGATGGGGAGAGGTGAGGTGGGAAAAGAGGCAGGCAAGAGTGGTGGAGTTTGTAAAGCGTCTCAGAACTTGACGAGAGAAGTGGGACAGGAAGCATGGGTATCCTCGTTCCTTATCAGCGGCACAACGCACACACCACCCACCTACGCCACCCACCTACCCCCTCGCCCCACCTGCAGCACGTCATCAAAGAAGCCTCTTAAGGCCGGCACTATGGGCGCCACGTCCACTGAGGGGTCACCCATGCCAGTGCCCACCCCCTACCTGCTCAGATATTCGCCAGACACCTACACACCCATCATCAACCCCACACCCATTGCTCCCCCCACCCACCCACCTGCAGCACGTCATCAAAGAAGCCTCTCAAAGCCGGCACTATGGGCGCCCCGTGCACTGAAAGTGTCATCTCATGCCCATCCCATCCCCACGCTCATGTGCACGCCCCTACCCATGACCATACCCACCCCTCATCTTGAGCAACCACACCCACCACCCCCCTCACCTGCAGCACGTCATCGAAGAAGCCTCTTAACGCCGGTACTGTGGGCGCCACGTGCACCGATGGGACAGCTCAGGCCCACGGCTCATGCCCCAGCAGCACGAAACATACACCAACCCTTCCCCACCTCCCCCCACCCCCCTCACCTGCAGCACGTCATCAAAGAAGCCTCTCAGAACCGGCACTATAGGCGCCCCGTGCACTGAGGGTGTCACCTCATGCCCATCTCATCCCACCCACGCCCCGCCCCATCCCGTCCCACTCCCCTCACCTGCAGCACGTCATCAAAGAAGCCTCTTAAAGCCGGCACTATGGGCGCCACGTCCACGGACGGGTCTAGAAAGTCGAGCTCTGGAAGGGGCAGAGGGGAGAGAAGGGAGAGGGGAGGCAGAGGGCAACAGGGAAGGAGCAGGCAAGGGTGGGAGGGTGCAGCTGGGTCCGCACAGGGCAGAAAACTATGGTTGCCTTTTGAGTGTTGAGTGCCCCACAGTGCCCTGGCCCCTCGGAGCCTCAAGCTCACTTATGGTGCTTGAAACTCAGCACTAAGGCTGCAGCGCCCTCTGAGGGGTCTAGGAAGTGGGTGGGGGCATGTGAGGGAGGAGGCGGAAGCATGTTTTCCTGCTGTGATAATCACAAGCCATGGCCTCATAGTCTCGGTTCACCAGATGCAACACGTAGCCTATGATGGCGAGACAAGGCCTTGCAACACACGTACCCGTTATAAGCATATCCTTTCTTACCGTAGTAATCACGTGCCATGGCCTCATAGTCCCGGTTCACCAGATGCACCACGTAGCCTATGATGGCGAGACAATGCCTATTAATAAATGTACCATTATAAGAATTTCTGTTACAAGCCTATCTATCTTCTTACCGTAGTAGTCACGAGCCATGGCCTCATAATCCCGGTTCACCAGATGCACCACGTGACCTATGATGGCGAATCGGGCTCGGGGCGGTGTCTCACTCATCATGCCTATTTGGGGAGTGGCAAGGTGCAACATGAGGTGCAGTGCGGTGCAATACGATTTGACGGATGCAACATGAGGTACGATGCGGTGCAGCGCGGTCTGGAGGAGGATAGTGGAGCAATTACATGGCCTATAATGGCGGGTCGGGCGCAAGAAGGCTCAAGAAGAGCATCAACTTGCATGCTTGAGGTGTAGAGCGGTGCAGAGAGGCGTGTTGCGGTGCAGAAAGGCACAGAGAGGCAACAAACCAAGGAGAGGGCCAAGGAGTGAGTGGGCGAGTGAGCGAGTGGATGAGTGAGTGAGTGAGTGAGTGAGGGAGTGCGTGAATGAGTGAGTGAGCGAGTGAGTGCGTGAATATCCCGCAAATGTGCGAGTGAGTGAGTGAGTGTCCATTCCCATATCACGCACCAAAGTGAGTGCTCAGTGATACCACGCACCAAAGTCAAGGAAAGCCAGGCGGCCGTCTGACATGGCAAGCAGATTGCCAGGATGGGGGTCCGCATGGAAGTAGCCGAACCTGTGCGGTGGAGAGGGGTGGAGAAAAGTGGAGAGCGGTGACGAGGGGTGAAGAGGCGTGATGAGGGTTCGGGATTGGTGGGTACAACTGGGAAGGAGAGGAGACTGAAGCGGAAGAGGTTAGAAGCGCAATCCTCATCTGCACCCTCAAGTCAAGCAAGTCAACACAAGCCAACAGAAGTCAGTCAACCCAAGTCAACTCTCTCCAGTAACTGCCTAAGAGAACACTGAATGCCGGTTGTTCTGCCGGTTGTCTGAACCAGCAGAATACTGAATTCAGGTCAATCACATCCTGGTTGTTCTGCCTCATGAGGTTAAGACATATCTCAGTGAGCTGCGTGCGTGCAGTAGGCTTAAGCAAAGGAAAAACAGCGGTAAAATTCCGCTCTGTGTAGAACAAAGTGCTCAGAACGATCTCAGAACCCAAATCTTAGCAGTAGAGTAAAACAGGGACAAACATGCATCGGCCGAGAGGGAAGGACGGACCCTATTGAACCCTCACTGAGATATGTCTGAACCCTCGCAGGTCAAGGAAGTCAATCACGTCCTGGTTGTTCTTCCTCATGCTCGTTGCCAAGGAAGTCAATGCGAGTCAACAGCAGTCAATGCAAGTCAACACAGGACTCACTCTAGCAGCTACCTAAGGGAGCACTGAAAATGCCAATGCCAACCGGGTCAATCACGTCCAGGTTGTTCTGCCTCATGCTCTCAGCTCCACCTCTCAGACAGGCAAGTCAACACCAGTCAACACCAAGTCAACACCAAGTCAACACCAGTCAACCCAAGTCAACTCACTCCAATAACTGCCTCAAGGAGCACTGAATGCCGATATCCATGAGGTCAATCACGTCCAGGTTGTTCTGCCTCATGCTCGCTGCATCGCTCAGCTTGATGCAAATTCAACGCGAGTCAACACAAGTCAACAGCACACACTCACTCTAGTAACTGCCTGAGGGAGCATTGTATCCCAATGTCCACGAGGTCAATCACATCAAGGTTGTTCTGCCTCATGCTCGCTGCATCCCCCTCAGCTCAGCTCAGCTCCACCCATAGTCAACAAGAGTCAACGTGAGTCAACCAAAGTCAACCCAAGTCAACTCACTCTAGCAGCTGTCTCAAGGAGCATTGTATCCCGATGTCCACCAGGTCAATGACGTCCAGGTTGTTCTGCCTCATGCTCGCTGCATCGCCCTCAGCATCTCACAGACAGGCAAGTCAACACCAGTCAACACCAGTCAACCGCACTCAACCGCACTCAACTCACTCCAACAGTTGCCTGAGGGAACATTGTATGCCAATGTCAACCAGGTCAATGACGTCCAGGTTGTTCTGCCTCATGCTCGCTGCATCGCTCAGCTTCACCCCATCCACCCACTCCATGCACAGCACGCGGCACGACGTGTTGCGCCACACGATCTGAGGGGGAAGAGGGGTGTGGGAGGCAGCGCATGGTATACATGTGCATGAGCGTGCATGCTTCTAGGTGCGTGTGCTCCCATTTCTCCCCTCAGCCTGACCCCATCCACCCACTCCATGCACAGCACGCGGCACGACGTGTTGCGCCACACGATCTGCAAGAGGAGAGGGCGAAATGGGAGTGGGTGGGGTGGGTGGGGGATGGTTGGAGTGTGCTTCTAGGTGTGTGCTCGCTGCATCGCTCTCCTCAGCTTCACCCCATCCACCCACTCCATGCACAGCACGTGGCACGACGTATTGCGCCACACAATCTGCGGGGTGAAAGGTGGGTCGCAGGTACATGCATGGCATGGCACAGCACATAGGTGTGAACAGCGACTACCAATGCTCCCATCGCTCTCCTCACCCCATCAACCCACTCCATGCGCACCACACGGCACGACGTGTTGCACCGACTCCCATCCCTGTCTACCGCTCTCCACCCCTCACCTGCGGCACGTACACCCCGTTCTGATTGCCATACAGCTGCCGAAAGCATCTCGCCCGCACCCTGCACCAACCTCTATCCACCCCTTTCCACCGCTCCCCACCCCTCACCTGCGGCACGTACACCCCGTTCTGGTTGCCATACAGCTGCCGAAAGCAACTCATCCCCACCCTCCATACACCAACCCCTGTCCATCCCTGTCCACCCATTTCCACCCTTTCCACCGCTCTCCACCGCTCACCTGCGGCACGTACACCCCGTTCTGGTTGCCATACAGCTGCCAACAGCAACACACCCATCCCTTTCAACACCTTCTTACCGCTCTCCACCCCTCACCTGCGGCACGTACACCCCATTCTGGTTGCCATACAGCTGCCGGAAGCGCCGGGCGTTGCGGGCCTCTTGGACGTAGTTGAGCTGAGATAGTGGGGTGGGGTGGGGTGGGGTGGGATGGGGTGGGGTTAGGGTAGGTTGGGTTGGTTTGGGTTGGGCGGTGGGTGGGGTGGATTGAAGCGGGTGGGTTGGGGTGGGGTGGTGAAGCAGGGCTTTTAAAGCGACTGATGCGATCTGATTGAGTAATGGGGAGGAGAAAGCGTATGAGAGGAGGAAAGCGAGGGAGAAGGGGAGAGCCACAGACATACCTCCTGATACACCCTGTCTGCGAATTCGTCTAGAAGCGCCACTGACTGCCATGGTTCAAAGGGAGACAGGCGAAGATAAGGAAGAGAGGGGAACCGGGGGGTTGGGGGGGGGGAGGGAGAGGGTAAAAGGCAATGTGAATGTGAAGATGGAGCAATAAGCTGTCTCCGGTGAGGGACGGGGAAGTAAAGGTAAGTGGAGGCTTTTGGTAACAGAATTTTTTGTTAACGCGCCAATTTTGGTGACGCGATTGGATATATGGTGCCTCAGAACGGCCTCAGGTGAGATGGTGGCTCCCTATCAGAGCGAGCACGCGAGAGAGTTGTGAGGGAGCACCACACCGCACCGCACTTACGCTGGTGGTGAGAGAATCAACGTATTTATCCACCAGCGAGCACAGCCCCCTGATGAGTGGTGTAGTGGCACCACAGTGCACTGCACTGCACCATACCACACTGCATTGCGGTGGGCTGCACCGCACTTACACTGGTAGTCAGCGAATCAACGTATTTATCCACCAGCGAGCACAGCCCCCTGATGAGCAGAAAGTCCAGCCCGACGGCTGTTGTGATGCCCGGGAGGGTGCTATACATGCATTGCACCGCACCGCACCGCACCGCACTGCATGGCACTGAACCGCATTGCACCGCATTGACTTACGCTAGTGGTGAGAGAGTCAACATATTTATCCACCAGCGAGCACAGCCCCCTGATGAGCAGAAAGTCCAGCCCGATGGCTGTTGTGATGCCTGGGCGCTGCACCTTCACTGCCACTTCGGTGCCTCCAATGAGACGCGCCTTGTACACCTGGAGGGAGCGGAGGAGGGAGAGGAGAGGGATAGAGGCATGCAAGCAGAGGAAATAGAGGAGGGAAGGAGCCCGATGGCTGTTGTGATGCTCGGGCGCTGCACCTTCGGTTCCTGACCCGCTCAAACGCGCCTTGTAGACCTGCAAGCGGGAGAGTCAGGGAGGGAGCAGGAGGAGGAAGAGGGAGAAGGGAGGCCGATGGCTGTTGTGATGCCTGGTCGCTGCACCTTCACTGCCACTTCGGTGCCTCCAATGAGACGCGCCTTGTACACCTGGAGGGAGCGGAGGAGGGAGAGGAGAGGGATAGAGGCATGCAAGCAGAGGAAATAGAGGAGGGAAGGAGCCCGATGGCTGTTGTGATGCTCGGGCGCTGCACCTTCGGTTCCTGACCCGCTCAAACGCGCCTTGTAGACCTGCAAGCGGGAGAGTCAGGGAGGGAGCAGGAGGAGGAAGAGGGAGAAAGGAGGCCGATGGCTGTTGTGATGCCTGGTCGCTGCACCTTCACTGCCACTTCAGTGCCTGATCCGATCAGACGTGCCCTGTACACCTGTAGGTGCGAGGAGCAGAGGGAGCACAGAAGGAAACAGAGGGAGCAGGAGGAGAGAGAGGAAGGAGGGAGCCCGATGGCTGTTGTGATGTCTGGAGCCCTTGGGTTAGCTTGACGTTGTTCACTGCGCTGCTCACCTGGCCAAGGCTAGCAGCGGCGATGGGAGACGGGCTGATAGACTAGAACATGGTCTCCATCGGTCGACACAGCTCGCCCTCTATGCACGCACACGCCTCATTTGGTGCCGTACGGATAAGCACATACCCGGAAAGAGTTCTGCTCACTGCTCACCTGACCCAGGCTGGCAGCAGCGATGGGCGACGGGCTGATGGACTCGAACATGGTCTCCATCTGTCGGCCCAGCTCGCCCTCTATGCACGCACACGCCTCATTTGGTGCCGTACGGATAAGCACATACCCGGAAAGAGTTCTGCTCACTGCTCACCTGACCCAGGCTGGCAGCAGCGATGGGCGACGGGCTGATGGACTCGAACATGGTCTCCATCTGTCGGCCCAGCTCGCCCTCTATGCACGCACACGCCTCATTTGGTGCCGTACGGATAAGCACATACCCGGAAAGAGTTCTGCTCACTGCTCACCTGACCCAGGCTGGCAGCAGCGATGGGCGACGGGCTGATGGACTCGAACATGGTCTCCATCTGTCGGCCCAGCTCGCCCTCTATGCACGCACACGCCTCATTTGGTGCCGTACGGATAAGCACATACCCGGAAAGAGTTCTGCTCACTGCTCACCTGACCCAGGCTGGCAGCAGCGATGGGCGACGGGCTGATGGACTCGAACATGGTCTCCATCTGTCGGCCCAGCTCGCCCTCTATGCACGCACACGCCTCTGCATCGGGGAACGTCGGCAGCGCGTCCTGCAGCAGCGCCAGCTCATCCAGATACGCCGGCGGGCACAGGTCCGGCCGGGTGGGACCCAGATCAGTGCAGTGCAGTGCAGTGCGGTGCAGGAGGTGGACAGCGCCAGCTCGTCCAGATATGCCGGCGGGCACAGGTCCGGCTGGGTGGATGGAGAGGGCCAGCAGGCGCGAGCAGCGCCAGCAGCAGAGCCAGCTCAACTAGATGGGAAGAGAGGGTGGGGCCTCACCTGGCCTAGACTGGCAGCAGCAATCGGTGAAGGGCTAATCGATTCAAACATGGTTTCCATCTGTCGGCCCAGCTCGCCCTCTATGCACGCAAACGCCTCTGCATCGGGGAACGTCGGCAACGCGTCCTGCAGCAGCGCCAGCTCGTCCAAATACGCTGGCGGGCACAGGTCCGGGCGGGTGGAGAGCGCCTGACCTAGCTTCACGAACGTGGGGCCGAGGCTCGTCAGCGCGCGCCGAAGCTGCGAGGCTCGGCGCGGCATGTTGGCGTCTAGCTGGCCGCGCTGCCGGTCGATCAGGACGGAGACGGCGACCGAGCCGAGCGCTGTCGTGACGCGCAGCGCTCGGCCGACTACCTGTTGGGGGAGTGATTGGGATGGGGGGTGCAGGATGGGGAGGAGGAGGTGGATTGGCAAGGGAGGACGGAGACGGCGACCGAGCCGAGTGCTGTGGTGACACGTAAGGCTCGACCGACTACCTGTAACGGTCGCTTCGAGTAGAATTTCGCGAGTCCTTGCGCGTCGTACAGCGGCGCGCCGATCGCGCGGCGCGCAGCGGCCGCTTCTTCCGCCGGATCTTCCTCGAAAACTCTGTCTCTCGACCGCTCCAACGGTCGCTTCAACGGCTGCTGTTGCGCCGTTCCCGGCGCGAATCGCGTGGCCGACCCGTTACTGGAAATCGCGGCGCCATTCCCGCCGGTGGGGATGCCACGTGGCCGGCGGTTGCTGCTGCTGCTGCCGCGGAGGCCGGTGGAAGGAGGTGACGTGTCCACGGCTGCTCGGGTCGCCAATTGCGTGCGCCTCGGACGAACGGTCCGCGACCTACGCGGTTCGAACCTAGAGGTAAGCGGCTCGCCTGTCGCCAACAGCCTCCTAGAACCTGCCGACACTAAATGTGTGGACGGAATTAGGGAAGTTCTAAACGGAGTAGGCCTGGAGTTCACACTCCCGCCATTGGAACACGCGCTGCAAGCACCTTTCGTATAAGAGATCGTATGTCTGTGAGTTTGGCTGGCTGACGCAGTTAATGCGTGTGCTGACGTGTCGGTACTAAGTGAACGGCTGCGATCAAAAGCTGCGCTGGGCCCATGAGGGCGAACTAGCGACGCAGCGCAAGCTGCCGTGCTCGCCATGGCGACGCGGTTACTCGAAACTCGCGAAAACAAGTTACACGCAACACGCTTCTAAGAAAGGTCACGACTGCAGAAGCGCGAGGCGCGAGAGCGAATTAACGATCGAGACTTGACGTCGAGCCCACAGTAGCGCAGACAATGAGATACCTATAACCTTTATCCACGCAACACTGCAGCCTTTCTTCTAACAGGAACAGGCTGAGACGCTGGTATTCCCAGGAAATGGAAGTGTGGAATGTGGGTGTGGAGTTCCCAAGGGAGCTGTGGAACTCAGGGCAAGGATGGAATCAAGGCATGTCGTTTACTTCGGTAAAGCATGGTAAGCTGTGGCACCGATTCCAAACGCTACGCACCGTTGGGAAGGTAGATAACAGAGCTAAGTCGGTTCGTCGTACATCGCAGGCATATGCTGAGGAACGAGTGTACTGTACATTGGCAGGCATGGGTTCGAATGAAGGGCAGAGTGAAAAGTATTTGCGCTGTTTTTTACTGTGGGCGATCTGTTCAGAAAGGGAGAGTTTCTCAACCCAACTGGTACAAAACACCCAGCCCACGGTTACCGGGCTGACAAAAACATTTGTTTTGAGGACAAATTTCACTGATGAACAAAAGGTTGGCTTGGTTGGGTCACTTTCTCCCAGCAGGTGCGTGTGGAAGTGGTCGACAAATCCGAGGGTCCTCAAGCGTTTCGAGGATCCACGTGGCAAGTTCAAACCAGAGAAAGAGCAACGTGGCTCTCAAGTTCAGGCTGCCATGTTCTGACGTTGCATTTGTGCGTTATCAAATTATCCGCTAGTAAGAGTAGCGGAAAGTCAGAAATTGCATCAGCAGCTTTGCTCAATAGAGAGTTTTAGTATTGGCAAACCTTACCAGAATCCATTATCGTTAGAAAAAACAAACTTTCACTAAAACAAAATCAATCTCCACAGGCTTCTATTTATTCATCATTATAACAAAATGTACAATTTCAATTGAGCTCCTAGCCCACCCCCAACCACCTGATCCTGGGAACCGTTCTGCTTCTCCTTGTTAAGAACCTCACAGTTATGTATAAAGGTTTGCCGCATGACCATTACTGACCACCCCCTTGCCCCTGCACCCCCTGCTGCTTCTGCTGCTGCTGTTGCTGTTTTTCTTTCTGCACCCGCTGCAGCTGCTGATCTCTCAGTTCCTGCTGCCTCTTCGTGTTCTTCTGCACCTCAAACGACGTCAGGCCATTCTGAGCCACCCTCAGCGCCGAAACCGCGTAGTTCCGAGCCTGGCTCTCAGGCCAGGTGACCTGCCGACCCAGCTCCCGAGCCAGCTGTGCAGGCTCGATCTTGGGAATCTCCTGCTTCACGAGGAGAATGCCGTTGAGCATCTGCGGCTCTGCGAGGTGGTACTTGCGCTTGCCCATCTCCACCAGCGCCACTGCATTGCGGAACGCCTGCATCGCCGTGAACAGGCGAGTAAAGTGCCTGAGGTAGGGGGGAGGGGGAGGCGAGGAAGGGGTATCGGGAAGTCGTGAGGAAGGGGAACGGGTGAGTCGTGAAGCGGCGCGAAAAAGCGACACCCGGTGAGAGTGACTCACGGGGACGTTTGCGTCAGGCTCTGCGCGGAGAGTCGGAGGAGGTGCTCCTTTGAGCCGTCTCTGAAACCATTTCGTTACAATCTCACATGATGTTTCGGTAACTTTCTATTCGCGAGTCACGAGAAACGCGACTCACGGAGACGTTTGCGTCAAGCTCTGAGCGGACTGTCGCAGGAGGTGCGCCGCCTTGTTGAACGACGAAATCACCTCCTTGCGACTGTATCGCAGAGGCGCGCGCGACCGCTTCGATGCCGCCGCCGCCTCCACCACCGCCGCGTCCGCCGCTGCTGGGTCGTAGGCGCTTGATTGTGATGATGACGTGGCCGTCGCTCTGGTGTGGGCGAAGAGGAATGCGGGGAGAGGTGAATGGAGGACGATAAGTGCAGAACGAGAAACGGCGTGAAGCAAGCGATAAGGCTGCAATTGAAGAAGTCAATCAAATTATGGCCCTAAAATCCGAGCAAAGTGAAATGCTGGGAATGCAGGTGACGATGTGGTGAAAATGTTCCGGAAGGAAACGACGGGAGTGAGCATGGTAAGGCGCAACCCACGTGGGGACTGAGTTCGCGAGAAGTATATATTTGAGTTGAGAAAAGCGGCATCGAAGAATTTCACGAGGTGAAAACGACGCTGACGACCAAAACGGATTTCACGGAATATCTTACATTGTTGCACTCTGCGTTTCCACATTCCCCGACGCACCCCTGACGAGTGCGAAGCCTTTGATGAACTCTGCACAAACACCGTGCGAAATGAACAAGGTTTAGATTGAGAAGTAAGCGGGAATGCATCGCAATCTCAACACGAATGGGCTGAAGGTCGTTCATACGTTGCTGCGTTCCGTCGCTACGTACGCCGCACGTGAAAGGGCGCTCAGACAACACAGAGAACCATACAAATGCAAACATTCCAAATTACTGCGAGGTGCTTCGAAAAACGAGAGGAAATACACCTATATTGTTGAATTTACGTTGCCATAGATTATCAAGAAAGCCAATAGAGTGAAAAAGTGGTGCGAGGCCTCGCCTTGGGCTTGGGAGCATTGGAGCCGCAGCAGCAGGGCGACGAAGAGAATGGCTATGACGTGCGTCGCGGGAAGGCGAGCGGCCATGGTCTCGGCCTTTAACAGGGACGTGCTCCTTCTGGTTGCACGTTTCCGCCAGGGACGTGCCTTTTCTGTTGTAATAGAAGGTAACCGAGCGTAAGGCGGAATCTTTGGGAGCGGATGGGTTGACTAGATGAAAGTCACCAGCAAACTCCTGTTGTTGTTGTTGTTGCAGCTTTTGCTCCGTGCGTCGTGTTTGTGCGGTAATCAGATAGAGCGGAAGAGCTAACGAAACGATAGTCGCGAAGGAGCTCGAATATGTATTGAACGTGGATGCCGCGGAATCTCCTGAAACGATTTTGCAGGACAGGTATCGCGTGGGGTTGTGTGGGGAAAGTGTTATAGAAAACGGCGAGTGCAATCTGCCTCCTTCCACGGCAAATTGGCCCCCTTTTCCGAGGCGCACCAAATCGGCCTGGCCGAGGAAGGCGAAAGAGGCAAGGCAAGCCAGCGACGCGGTTTTAGGTATGGCTGGCTGGGAGATTTCATTGGTTGTTGTCTTGGTCGGTGTCGGGTTTGACGTGGATTATAGCTTCGGAAATGACCATGGAGGCTGGTTCCGCTGTCGGATCGGCTTGGAAGTAGGTCGGTTTGGAGGGCTTCATCTTAGTTCACGAGGCAAATGCGACGCGTGATAGACATGGGCCTGCAATTTGGCAGGAACGAAATCTACAGTCTCTCGACTTACTACAGCATATGTTATAAAGTGTATTCTTTGCATATGGTGAAAAATAATTACCCATGTAATTTTCCCTCGGCCCCAGTTCCACTGAAGGATGGTAAGCAGCCACGTGGTTTAGGTGACTCGCTTCCTATTTCAGAACCTGTTTTTATATTGAGGTAAGCAGTTGTGGTCACATCTGAAGTTGAAGCAGGTGTGGATGAGAGCTCGTGCTGTTCCATACAGTTGCTGATTAGCTGTTGAAACTTGAAAATGTATAGAAAACGGGATTCGCCCTGTAACGGTGCATGCATTCTCACCCACAGGTACTCCACTGATTGCTTCGCATTTGCAGTAGTTATGTTGGTCGTCGTTAGCCCACATCCCCGCGCAGACCGCGGACGCCTGTTGCGAGGAGCCATTTAGGTGTCGATCCCATGGCAGCATATCTTCCTCTTCCGGTAGCTGCAGCTTGTCAGCTTCCGGCATCTTCACGCCTCACGTCGCTAAGACAAACTTCACCGTCGATTTCGTCCGCATCCACTCATTATCAGGCTGGAGCATCCCCTCTCAGCGTGATTCGCATCGCCGGCCAATCACAATGTTGCACAAGCCACGTGCGCACGCGTGTTTTGGCTCTGATAGCTGCTGACGGGGCAACCCCTAGCGGATCCGACGGCGGAGAAAGCGGAAGTAGCAGCAGCAACGTGGTGCTTCAAAGCGGAACCGCCGTAGTTATTGTAGCCGAGCCTCCGTTCGTAAAGTCTGCCGAACCTATGCCGATGCTTCGGCGAAACGACGGAATCATTAGAGTGGGGGACGCAGGAAGGATTATGGACCGCCGGCCGAAGGACACATGGGCAATTCGGTTCGGCCATGGCGCTTTTCTGTTGGATAGGAAGTATTTTGAGCCGTTTGAGGGGTAATTTCGTAGTGTTGAGAGGTTTGCAGGGCCTTACAGGTGGATTTTTCAGTAATGGCAATCGTTTTCGTTTTGCTGGCAGAGTGCACAACCTAGGCATTCAATCAATAATCTTGTTCCTTTATGCTCTTTAACTGGTGCTTTCATGATGGAAGAGGGGCGGCGGGGAGGGTGGAAAGGGTGGAGAGGGAGGAAAACAGATGAACAGGAATGTTGGTTGGGAGAGATAGAGTATGTCTCTGCTTGTGTCAGTGCAGGACCTGCCAACACAATGGCAGGACAGACCAGCTCAAAACAAATGGATGTCAGTCAGCCTATCAGCATGGATGCTGGCACAGTGGGACGGATGCCAGCCTGCCTGCCATTCCAAATACGAACATTGGTTCTTTAGTCCCTCCCTAGAGTGTAATGAAGCGTTTTTCTGAGTTTGGTATTCTGGTATTTAAATTCTTGCAACTTGTTAGGCCTATGATATGTGTGTATCACCCTACAGGTAGCATGAACAAAACATTTGAAAGTAGTAATACAATATATACTCTATATGGCATAGCTACACCAAATTATGGGTCAGCGTCTTAGACTTGGGTATGGTTCTGATGAAGCGCGCTAAGGGCGTGTCCAGCGCGTACATTTTGGGAATATTAGTACCTTCACACGTTTCCCGGCTCAAAAAATCTCACTGTACCAAAAAACGAATATAAGGTGAGTCGAGTCCGAAGGCTTGGGCCTTCCAGCGCGCGGACACAACCCTCTGCACACAAATTTCTACAGTTCGTGGAAAACGAGGTAACTGGTTGCCTCGTCTATCATCGCACAGAAATTCACGCACAAGCGAAAATTCCACGCTTGAACGAAAATTACTGTAGCGGGCAGGACGCAACGCTGTACCCTTGTTCGCGCGCACACTGATTCCAGTAACGTGTGTTAGACGATTCGTCGTACGCGCAGCGGGCGTGCCGTCTTGTGAACGGAAGCTGATCGTGTCCAACCTTTTTGTAAAATGCAGTGTTACAATAGGAAATAAGGTAACTGAATGGGTTTATGAACTGTAAATGTACGCGCTGGACACGCCCTAAGCCCTCCCATCAAACGCGTTCCTCCATTTCACACCAATCCCAAGCCTATACCACCTCTGCCGCCTAGCCGCTCCGCGAATTGCGGGAATCCTCGGAGTTGAGTCATTCGCCACTTATTCTCGCGCATAATTTGTCCGAAACAAAATAATTCACCTCATCAGCTTTCTGCAGTAACTTGTGCTGCTGTGGTGGTTGACGTACAGTACTACTGCCATATTCCGCTGCTCTTTTGGGTGGGGCGTTGCGAAGGAGTATCTATCCGATCGTAGTCGCTTCCGCGTTTCCTTGCGAAAGCTTACGTCTTGCCCACTCTTTTCGAGCCACGTGGCTCGTTCTTTCACGAAATCTCGTGATTTGTTTATAGAGATTTGTTCCAGTAACTTGCTCCTAGGCCGAGGCCTTCGTCGGTCCGTCTATCTATCGAGTTTCGAGTTGTCTCAGAGTCCGTTTATCTATCCCGCGACTTCTGCTTTAGCTTTAGCAGCTTAGCCTTTGTCTGTGGTTGCCGAATCTCCAGCTGAAATACTGTAGAAAGAGGGAGTAACATCATTCGTATGTAGCGTTATTGAAGCCCTAGTCTTAGCTAGGTATCAGATTCGGTGATCTCCGTAGTAGAGTTTCTCGGAGTAATCTCGGAGTAATTGAATCCATCGGGCGGCCATGGCGTTTAAGCTCGGTCGGTTGAATCTGGGCGCCGTCGCGCAGGGGGTGGGAGGTCTCGTGTTCGGAAGCGGCGACGACCAAGAAGACGACGGGTAAGCGACCACCTGCGACGTCGTGCGACGTTATGAATCCCATTGTTGACCCGTATACGATAGGATTGCCTCAGTTGATGCCGGGATAATATCCGCTATAAGTTTCATGCTTACGTGGCGATCCTTCCTGCCGATACACGATCCTCCTTTCCCGATATATTCACTTTTCCTGTCTTTCGTTTCCCCGTTCCGTGATTTCCCGGTGCACGCACCTCTACACTCTGTACGCGTTAACAGCGGAGTGGAGCGGCTGTTGGATCGCATCAGCAATGGAGTGCTCGCAGAGGATCGCCAGTCCGCCATGGCCGACCTGCGCGACGTCGTCACGGACAGCCCTGTCGCACAGCAGGCGCTGGGAGCCATGGGTGAGTGACTGTCGCACAGACTTCGCACAGGCTGCACGTCGCACGGACAGCCCTGTCGCACAGCAGGCGCTGGGAGCCATGGGTGAGTGAGTGTCGCACAGACGTCGCACAGGCTGCACGTCGCACGGACAGCCCTGTCGCACAGCAGGCGTTGGGAGCCATGAGTGCTTGATTGTCGCACAGCCAGTCGCACAGACAGCACGCCGCATAGACAGCACATCGCATAGACAGCACGTCGCACGGACAGCCCTGTCGCACAGCAGGCGCTGGGAGCCATGGGTGAGTGACTGTCGCACAGCCAGTCGCACAGCCAGTCGCACAGACATCACGTCACAAAGACAGCCAGTCGCACTGACAGCCGTGTCGCCCAGGCCATCAGATCGCACACAGTCTCACATGGTGGTGGGATGAGAACTGTTTCCGTGCAACGGGAGTGCTCAAGTCTGCTATGCAGTAACAAGCGAACCGTTTTCATCTGTAACAAGCGACTGCTTACAAGCACGTACTCCTCATTGCTGAGTCCCTTGTCTTGCTTGCATGTGCGTGTGCCTTTGCTTGTGCGTGAATCTGTGTGTGCGCGCATCTATGTGTGCATGTGCATGCGCGTTTGTGTGCGTGTTTGTGTGCGTGTGTGTGTGTGTGTGTGTGTGTGACGTGGCAGGTATTCCTGTTCTTTTATCCGTACTGCGAGAGGACCGGGAAGATGTGGACTTGGTGAGTGCGGGAGCGAGCGAGCGAGTGAGTTAGTGAGTGAGTGAGTGAGTGAGGGGGTGAGTGAGTGAGTGAGGGGGTGAGTGAGTGAGTGAGTGAATGAGCACGCAAGTGGTTCAGCGAGGGGATAGAGGGAATGAGGGAGCAAGTGAGTAAGGAGTGAGACAATGAAGAAACTAGTGAACAAGTGAGAGAAGGAGAAAGGGAGAGCGGAAGAGGAGAACAACGACTGGCGTATGTCTCTTGCTCTCCCCATGCCACTTTCTCTCTGTGATGGTTCTCAACTCAACCTTTCTCCATCCCCCATCCCCTATACCCTATCCTTTTCCTTCCATCACCTTCGTTTCAATTCTGACAGCTCACCTTTTTCCCCCAATTTTGTTCTTAATTGCACCATTTTTCTCAATTTTCTTTCAGATTCGGGGAGCTCTAGAGGTGCTGGTTGCAGGGCTTGCAGCAGGAGGGGGAGCGGCGGAGCAGAGGGAGTGGGGGCAGCAGCAGCAGCGGGTGGCGCCAGGGGTGATCAACTCGGAGCTCTTTGCGCGCGAGCCCCACAGCATCGCCCTGCTGCTGGCACTGCTGGTAAGTCTCTTCTCAGAGAAGCTCTGGTTTGGGGGGGGGGGGGGTTGGGCTGGGGGGGGGAGTGAAGTGCTGGTGGGGCAGCATGGGGCAGCATGGGGCAGCAAGGGGGTCCGCCAGGGGTGATCAACTCAGAGCTCTTTGCGTGCGAGCCGCACAGCATCGCCCTGCTTCTCGCATTGCTGGTGAGTGGCCGTGCGGGGGGTAGTTGGTGAGTGGCTGGGTTGGGAGTGCAAGGGTGAGCAGTATGGGGGGCGTGGCAGGGCAGCAGCAGCGGGTGGCGCCAGGGGTGATAAACTCGGAGCTCTTTGCTCGCGAGCCGCACAGCATCGCCCTGCTGCTGGCACTGCTGGTAAGTAGCTGTGGAGGAGGAGGATTTCTACATTTGCTACCACACGGTGCAGCTGCTCGCCATCCTCCTCTCCTTCTCTCCTCTCTTTGTCATTGGCTTTGTCTTCCTCCCCTCCCGGTAACGAAACACACCCATCTTCAACAGGAGGAGGAGGACTTTTACATTCGATACCACACGGTGCAGCTGCTCACCATCCTCCTCTCCACACCTGCTTCCCTCACTCAACCCCCAACCGCCCTTCTCCTCATCTGTCTCCCCCACGCCCTTCTCCTCATCTGTCTCCCCCACGCCCTTCGCCCCATGTATCTCCCCCACGCCCTTCCCCCCATGTATCTCCCCCACGCCCTTCCCCCCATGTATCTCCCCCACGCCCTTCCCCCCATGTATCTCCCCCACGCCCTTCCCCTCATGTATCTCCCCCACGCCCTTCCCCCAACAGGAGGAGGAGGACTTTTACATTCGATACCACACCGTTCAGCTGCTCACCATTCTCCTCTCCAACTGCCCGCACAGGTGAGGCAGAGTCTTGAGAATTATGAAAGTCGTCTCATCATATGTGTGAGTGAGCACCAAGTCTTTATCCCAGTTGTGCATTCCTGTAGTGTATACCCTGTTCGTACTTGCAATTTCTATTTCTGAGTACAAGCCGTGAGATTTTTGTGCCACATCCAACATTTCTGGATGAAACGCTCACTTGCTCGTGCTAGCAAGCATGGCAAGTGACCGTCCGCGCAGCCCTCCTCGCACCTGCGAGCACTCCTTGCCCTCACTTGATCTTCTGACCCGCCCGTGGCATCGCATGGCATGTATGCTGGCATGGCATTTGGCATGTGGGAGACATGTTGTGTGGCATGTGGGTGGGAGACATGGCATGTGGCATGTTCAATGGCTGGGCATGTGCGATGGCATGGGGTATGTGATGGCATGGCATGTGTGATGGCATGGCATGTGTGATGGCATGGCATGTGTGATTGCATGGCATGTGTGATGGCATGGCATTTGTTATGGCATATTGGCATGGCATGGATGATGGCATGTGTGATGGCATGGGTGCATGCATGCATACAGGTTACAGGAGGCCATATTGGTGATCCCTCAGGGCGTGGGGAGGCTCATGGATATGATGGCACTCAATGAGAGAGAGGTGAGGCGATGAGAGGGAGGTGAGGCGATGAGAGGGAGGTGAGGCGATGAGAGGGAGGTGAGGCGATGAGAGAGAGGTGAGGCGATGAGAGGGAGGTGAGGCGATGAGAGGGAGGTGAGGCGATGAGATGAGAGGTTAAGAGCCCTGGGCCCTGGGTACTTGGGGCGTGGGGTGTGGGGCGTGGGGTGTGGGGCGTGTGGGGCGTGTGGGGCGTGGGGCGGCTCATATATATGATGGCGCTGAATGAGAGAGAGGTGAGGAGATGTGACTCCTAGAGTGTGGGTGGGACTCGTAAAGTGGGGGGCACGTAGGAGGTGATGGTGACAATGCATGTGATGGTTCCGAAATAGTGGTGTCTGATTGCGGTGCTGCTTGGATTGCATTGCATTGCATTGCATTGCATTGCATGGCATGGGGGGGATTTTCGTTGCACATGGCATGGCATGGCATGGCATGATCAGGTGATTCGCAACGAGGCGCTCGTTCTCATGATCAACCTCACACGCTCCGCTGAGGTACGTTGAAGAGGAATGAGACAATAGCGTTGGGTAAGGGCAGTTGTGGAAGGGTGGGGGGAAGGGTGCAACGAGGCACTTGTTCACATGATCAACCTCACACGCTCCGCCGAGGTACGTTGAATGTGGACCGTGCAGTGCATTGGAGTCACTTGTGAGGAATTCCACAAATGTACCGTGTGCACCATGAGCACTACTATATCCTCTCTCCTTACACAAATAACGCATTCTAGCTTTCTAAGGTAGTGGTGTTCGAGGGCGCATTTGAGCGCTCGTTGAACATCATTTGAGACGAGGGAGGGGCGGATGGGGGCATCGTGGTTCAAGACTGCATAGAGCTCACCAACCTCCTCCTCCGCTCCAACACACCCGTCACTCCTCCCCTCTCCCTCCCGGTCTCTCCCCTCCCTCTCCCTCCCCCTCTCTCCCTCTCCCTCTCCCTCTCCCTCTCCTTCTCGCCCTCTCCCCCTCTTCCTTTCTCTCCCTCTCTCCTCTCACCAGGAAATCCAAAAGATAGTGGTATTCGAAGGCGCCTTCGAGCGAGCGCTCAACATCATCAGAGTCGAGGGAGGGGCGGATGAGGGAATCGTCGTTCAAGATTGCATAGAGCTCATCAACACCCCCCTCCTCCGCTCCAACACACCCGTCACTCCTCCCCTCTCCCTCCCGGTTTCTCCCGCTCTCTCCCCCTCCGTCCCTCCCTTCCTCTCTCCTTCTCTCTCCTGCTCCCCCACACTGCCGCCTCTCTCCCCCCACCAGGAGATTCAAAAGATAGTGGTATTCGAGGGCGCTCAACATCATTCGAGACGAGGGAGGAGCGGATGGGGGCATCGTGGGGCAGTTCTGCATAGAGCTCATCAACAACCTCCTCCTCCTCCGCTCCACTGCCCCCTTCACACCCCTCTACCCCCCTTCCTTCCTCCCCCAGTTTTTCTTTCTCTTATGCCCCCTCTCTTCCGTTCTCTCCCGCTTTGGCCTCTCAACAGGAGATTCAAAAGATAGTGGTATTCGAGGGCGCCTTTGAGAGGGCACTCAACATCATCAGAGACGAGGGGGGGGCGGATGGGGGCATCGTCGTACAGGACTGCATCGAGCTCATTAACAACCTCCTCCGCTCCAACGTATCAAATCAAATTTTCCTCCGTGAAACCCTCGGCCTGTCCCGCATCCCCGCTCTGCTCCTCTCCCTCCGAAAATACGCCACCGCTGCTGCCGCTGCCGGCAGCAACAGCACCAGTACCACCAGCAGCAGCAACGAGAATACCAACAGTGGCAGCAACGGCGGCGGCGGCGGCGGCAGTGGCAGCAGCAGTAGTTTGGAGAGAACAGAGCCTCTGACCCGGCAGAAGGCGGCGAACCTCCTCTGTGGGATCGAAACAGTCGCTCTGTTACTCGCCCGAAACCCCCACGCGGCCACCCTGAAAGACGACACGAACCTGATCGCGAACCAGACTATGCTGGGCCATGCGAAGCTGATGGATTCTCTGCTAGCTCTCGCCTTCGACCCACTAGTCAACTCTACGGCGATTCGCACGCAGGCGCTTAAAGCCCTGGGAGGGCTTGTGCTGGGGCATGTGGCGAATCGGGAGGAGCTTGGGAGTAAGCTGATTAGTCGGACTGATCCGACGACGTTTTTGTATCGGGATGCTGGGTGGGGGCTGAGGAAAGGGAGGAGGGGAGGGGGAGGAGGAGGGGAGGGTGGATGGGGAGAGGAGGAGGATGGAGAGGAGGAGGAGGAGGAGGGGTTGTTGAGGGGGGTGGGGGAGGAGATGGAGCCGGCATTGCACTGTGTGCTGCGGGTGGCACTGAGAGCGAGTACCATGAGGGAGAGCTCTGCTGCTGACTATGTGATTCGGTGCTTCTGTGAGGTGCGTGCGTGTTGGGGAGGATCGTGAAATGTGTGTGTGGGGGAGTGCAGGTAGTAACCGAGGTAGGGGGGTCTGGGTGGCTCTGAGAGCGAGTACCATGCGGGAGAGCTCTGCTGCTGACTATGTGATTCGGTGCTTCTGTGAGGTGCGTGTATGGGGGTTGTGAGTTGCATGTGTGGGAGGAATGGGATTAAGCGGGCCCTGAGGGTGAGTACCATGAGGGAGAGCTCTGCTGTTGACTATGGCATCCGATGCTTCTGTGAGGTGCGTATGTGGGGGTGGGAGAGAGGGGGGGAGGGGGGTATGATGGTTGGGTTGACGACAGGGTAGCCCCTAGCCTCCTCTCCTCCACTTCCCTTGCCCGCATTCGTTCCCAGGGGGGGCAGACCATCGCCATGCTAGCGTCCACTATCACTCCCCTGCCTCAAGGCGTCTCAAGGTTCATTGTGGAGTAGCTGCAAACCTGACTTTTGAGGCGCCTCAAAAGTTGCCTCAAAAGTCGCCTCAAAAGTCGCCTCAAAAGTCGCCTCAAAAGTCGCCTCAAAAGTCGCCTCAAAAGTCGCCTCAAAAGTTTTGAGGCGCCTCAAAAGTCCCCTGCCTCAAGGCGTCTCAAGGCTCATCGTGGGGTAGCTGCAAACCTGAAGGAATCACTTAAGCAAAAGGATCAAGACTTGTGAAACTTGCTCCAGAAATTCAGAGAGATCTCAAAACCTTCGAACTCAAGAAAACCCTTTTTCGCAAACTAGTTTCGGCCTTCGGGACACAACCCCGCTAGGCCTTCATCAGTGCTGCTTTACAGGTTGCCTCCACTTTCCTTGCCCGCCTTCGTTCCCAGGGGGGGCAGACCATCGCCATGCTAGCGTCCACTATCACTCCCCTGCCTCAAGGCGTCTCAAGGCGTCACAAAGTTACCTCATCGCCATTCCTTATCCTTGTCCTTGCCTCCCTTGCCACCCTTGCCTCCCTTGCCACCCTTGCCACCCTTGCCACCCTTGCCTCCCTTGCCACCCTTGCCTCCCTTTCCACCCTTGCCTCCCTTGCCACCCTTGCCTCCCTTGCCACCCTTGCCACCCTTGCTCCCCCTGCAGGGCAACAGCGAGGGGCAGACGATGCTAGCGTCCACCATCACACCCCTGCCTCAAGGCGTCGCAGGGTTATGAGCTCACTGTTCCTTATCCTCCCCCATTTCACCACCCTCCCTGTCACTTATTGCTTCTCCAACAGGGCAACAGCGAGGGGCAGACCATGCTAGCGTCTACCATCGCACCCCTGCCTCAAGGCGTCACAGGCAAGGGCAAGAGAGGAGGAGGTGCAATGGGGCCTGACACGGCTGATGATGCGGCAAACCTGACGTTTGGAGGGTGAGTGTGGTGGTGCATGAAGCATGGTGAGGGTGAGTGAGTGTGGTGCATGAAGCATGGTGAGGGTGAGTGAGTGTGGTGCATCAAGCATGGTGAGGGTGAGTGTGATAATGCAGGAAGCATGGTGAGGGTGAGTGCGATGCGATGATGCGTGGAGAATTTTGAGGTCAAGTTTGGTGACGCCTGTTTTGGAAAAAAAAAAAAAAAAAAAAAAAAAAAAAAAGGCATCTTTGTGCGGGCACTGCTAGCGGGGCAGAGTGAGCCACATGATAAAAGTGTTGTTTTGAGACGTCTCAATAAAAGGGCATCTTTGTGCAGGCACTGCTAACCGGGGTAACGAGCGAGCCTTGGAGGGAAGGGAAGCTGCCGGGCAGCGAGTGTGTTGTTGCACCTCCTCACGGGCAACTCCCTGTGTTCCTCTCTTTCCCCACACACTCCCTTTCAGCATCTTAGTGAGGGCCCCCTGCAGATCCCCACCTCTGCTCTCCAGGAGGTCAAATTTGTCTTTCCTATCCCCCCCTTTTCCCCCTTTCCCTCCCAGTATCTTGGTGCGGGCGCTGATTGCAGGGCAGAGCGAGCAGGCCTTAGAAGCAAGCTGCCGCGCAGCCAGCGTGCTCTCACACCTGCTCACGGGCAACTCAGCTGCCAAGGAGCGAGTGCTGCGCATCCCCCTGCAGATCCCCACCTCTGCCCTCGCCCCTCCTGAGCTCCTCGTGCCCCTCCCGTTCTCTCCTCTCTCCCTCCTCTCCCTCCCACCTCCCCCCTCCCAGCATCTTGGTCCGTGCGCTGATAGCAGGGCAAAGCGAGCAAGCCCTGGAGGGGAGCTGCCGAGCAGCGAGCATTCTCTCGCACCTCCTCACCGCCAACTCAGCAGCCAAGGAGCGAGTGCTGCGCATCCCCCTGCAGATCCCCACCTCCGCCCTCGCCCCTCCCGAGCTCCTCATGCCTCGCATCATGCGCTATCTCGCTGCCGCCGCCGCCCCTCCCTCTCCCCCCCTTCCCACTTCCTCACACCCGCACTCGCACCACCAATCTTCCTCTTCCCACTCCCTCTACTCCTCGTTCGCCTCGTCGTTTTCCTCCTTCTCCTCCTCCCCCTCCTCTTCCTCCTCCTCCTCCTCCCCGTCGGCCGTCTGGCTTCAACCCGTGCTGCTCCGCCTGCTGCTGACGTGGCTCTCCGACTGCCCGCCAGCTGTCGCGGCCTTCCTCGCGCCGCCCGGCCACCTGCCGTTCCTCGTCGGCCTCGTCAGCGCCGCCAGCTCAGCAGCAGCAGCCGCCGCGCTGCCAGGTGGCGGCACGGGAGAGGACGGGGAGGAACACGGGGGATCAAGCGGGGGAGGAGGGTACGGGGATGGGTATTCTGACGGGTATGACACAGCAGGTGACAGGAAACGAAGCGGAGGAGGAGTGGGGGGAGAGGTCGACGGGAGAGGGGCAGACGAGGCAGCAGGAGCAGCAGGAGGAGCAGGAGGGGGGGTGGCGGTGCATGTGGGGGGACTAGCCTCTCTCGTGTTAGGAGCGTGCGTTGTATACAACGATAACACAGGACCCACAGACGCAGCCACAGTGGTTGATATCATAACCCAGCGCATTGGCCTTGCTGCTTTCTTCGCCCGTATAGAGGACTTGAAGCGGGACCCGTACTTCCTCGCAGGGGGAGCGGGACCGCGGCCGCCGAAGCCCCTTACCAGAACCACTGCTGCTGCAGAGGCAGCAGGTGGGGGTGGGGGAGGGGGGGCGAGGGGAGCAGGGGCGGGTAAGTCTGGGGAAGGGGGCGGCAGCAGCAGCGGTAGCAAACACAGTGAGATCACAGAGGAAGGTGGGGCAGGCTCTGCTGCCACCTCTTCTGCTGCTGCTGGGCTTGCAGCAGCAGCAAGCCGCGTGCCACCTGTTCCTAGTGCGTCAAGTCTGGATTTCGAGCCGCCCATTGCTTCGTTCTACGACCGGGAGTTTGTGCGGTCGGTGCTGGTGCTGGAGGAGGCAGTGCGGTTGAGAGTGGTGCAGCTGTTTTCGATGCCGAGAGGTGGGGGTGGGGAGGGGGGAGGAGGGGGAGAGGGAAGCGTGGATGTGAACCGAAAGGATGGAGAGAGTGAGGGGGAGTATGCAGGGAGGCTGAGAGCAATTCTTCAGTCGCAGCATCAGGAGCTTCAGGTAGGGTTCCCCTCTAGCCTTTTCACCGCATTCCACTCCTGTCATAGCCACTTGAAACCATCTGCAGCTCCACGTAACTACGTTACCACCCATCTTGTTCCTCATGCACCTCCCTCTCCCTTCTCTTCCCCCCCACAGCACCTGCGCAGTCGCAACGTGGCTCTCGCGAAAGACGCCATGCAACTCGCCCCACAATCCCCCTCCTCTGGCACCGGCGCCAGCGACCAGTCACAGGCCGCCACGTCAGCGGACGGCGCGGGCGGCGCCGGCGCAGCGCCAACTCACGCTGAGCTGGAATCCGCCCGGCGCCAGCTGGCAGAGGCGGAAGGGAGCGTGGCGACGCTTCGAGGGGAGCAAGAGACACTCATGGGAGAACTCATGCAGGTGGGGTTGGTGACTTTGGAGTCGACTCAACTTTTGATTCGACTTTTGAGTCCACTCAAAAGTCGACGCTCAGACAAGAGCAGGAGACGCTTATGGGCGAGTTGATGCAGGAATGTGTGCCTGCTGTGTGCGGGGTAGTGGTTAGTGGTGGCCAGCTGGCGGAGGCGGAGGCGAGTGGGGCGACACTCAGAGGGGAGCCGGAGACTCTTCTGGGCGAGTTGATGCAGGTAGGGTGGTCAATATGTTGTGTGTGTGGTGTGCGTTGTGCTGTGTTGTGTTGTGTTGTGTTGTGTTGTGTTGTGTTGTGTTGTGTTGTGTTGTGTTGTGTTGTGTTGTGTTGTGTTGTGGTTGTGTTGTGTTGTGTAGGGTGGTTAGTGTTTGTATAGAACACGTAAATGTGACACTACATGCAGGTAGGGTGGTGTGTATGGTGGGTGAGTGGGTGGGTGTGTGGAGGGGGAGGGGGGGGAGGGAAGCAAGAGCAGGGGGAAGTGGGGGTGTTGGTGTGGGTGGGTGGGTGGGTGGGTGGTAGAGGTTAGCAGACCTGGAGGCTTTCCCACCCACCCACCCACCCACCCACCCACCCACCCACCCACCCACCCACCCACCCACCCACCCACCCACCCACCCACCCACCCACCCACCCACCCACCCACCCACCCACCCACCCACCCACCCACCCACCCACCCACCCACCCACCCACCCACCCACCCACTCACCCACCCACCCCCACCCACACCCACCCACCCACCCACCCACACCCACACCCACACCCACACCCACACCCACACCCACACCCACACCCACACCCACACCCACACCCACACCCACACCCCCACTTCCCCGTGGCAAAATCAGTCTAACTGACTTTTGAGTCGACTCTAAAGTCATCCTGCCCTTGTCCTGTGGCATATCAGTTTAGAGCAAGAGAGCCTTGAAATGGGAGGTCAAAACTGCAACCCCATTTCTCACTCCTAGACATTGTTTCTTTTCCCTTCCTCTCTCTCCCCTCCCTCTCCCCCTTCCAGGTGCGGCAAGTAGCAGCAGGTAAAGAAACAGACCTGCAAGCTCTATCCATGGCCTACCACAGTCTAGAGCAGGAGATTTCTAGACTAGAAGGGGAGGTATTACCCTTCGCCTCACCACTACTTCCTACCTTCCTCTCCCTCCCTCGCCCCCCTCCCTTTCCCCCTTTCAGGTTCGGCAAGTAGCAGCAGGCAAAGAAGCAGACTTGCAGGCTCTATCCATGGCCTACCACAGTTTAGAGCAGGAGAATCTCAGACTAGAAGGGGAGGTCAAATCCCTCCAATCCCAATCTTTCCCATTGTGTTTTCCGCTCCTCCTTCTCAACCCCTCACCGACCCTCCGCATTGCAGGTTCGGCAAGTGGCAGCAGGCAAAGAAGCAGACTTGCAGGCTCTATCCATGGCCTACCACAGTTTAGAGCAGGAGAATCTCAGACTAGAAGGGGAGGTTAAGTCCCTCCAATCCACCACTGAAAGTCTCCGAGCCAGCCTAGCTTCGGCCGAAGCTGCTGCCGCAGCCGCAGGTTCGGGCGGTGCTGCAGGCGCAGGAGCAGGCTCGGGGGTGCCCGAAGCTGAGGTGGAGGAGCGGGTGGAGGCGGCTCGGCAGGAGGCTCGGGAGGAGGCGCAGCGGGAGAGTGAGACAGAGTTGAATGATTTGCTGGTGTGTTTGGGGCAGGAGGAGAAGAAGGTGGAGGTGCTAAGAGGGAGGCTGGTTGAACTTGGGGAGGATGTGGATGGTTTGATGGATGGAATAGTGGAGGGAGAGGAGGGGGGCGGAGAGGAGGAGGAGGAGGGGTAAGTGGAGGGAAGGAGGAAGAGGGATGCAACGAGGGTAGGAGGAGGGTTGACAGAGGGGAATATGAGGGGGGTGGGATGGAAGAGGAAAAGAGAGACAGGGGAGAGTTAGAGGGAGAGAGAGAGTGTTTGGGGCAGGAGGAGAAGAAGGTTGAGGTGTTGCGTTGCGGGGGTGGCTGGTTGAACTTGGGGAGGATGTGGTTGGTTTGATGGATGGAATAGTGGAGGGAGAGGAGGGGGGCGGAGAGGAGGAGGGGTGAAAGGAGGATAAGAGGAGGAGTGAGAGGAGGATAGGAGGAGAAGAAGGTTGAGGTGTTGCGAGGGAGGCTGGTTGAACTTGGGGGAGGACATGGATGGTTTGATTGATGGGCTGGGGGAGGGGGAGGATGGGAGGAGGAGGAGGAGGGGCGAGAGGAGGGTAGGAGGGTTTAGAGAGGAGAGGATGAAGGGGGAGGGGTGTAACGGGTGATACGAGGGAGGGAAAGGAGGGGAGGGGGGAGGCCGGGAAAGGTCACCGTTGAGTAAGGCAAGGGGTTGAAATGCTGTGACGGGACAATTTCCTGAGGCGTTTTAAAGAGTCGTGATTCCTAGGGGAATCAGATTGTGAGTCCTTTGATCAGAGGGGGGTTTGAGTTGCATGGAAAAGAGTTGGATGTGGGATGGGTAAATATTTGGGAAGAACAGGGAGGAGGGAGGGAAGGATGCTGGAAAGGTGGTCTGGAATCCGGATGGCAAATTGAGGATAGGGTTGGTGATACCGTATTAGATTGGAGAGAAGGGGGTAATTGTCAGTTTGTTCTATGGGGGTGTGTTCTGTGGTAGGTAGGTAGGGCCCGGACATTCGGTATGACTAAGCCAGGTGTTACGAATAGTGATTGTTGAAACACTATTGTACACTCCTCACCGCAGCAATTGAAGCACGTACTACCGAGAATGAAGACAGACAGGCGGAGGTGACACGAAGAGTCACACGGTTACGAAAGGATCTGGACCGTCGGGCAGACAGCATCAGGCAGCAGCAGTGGCGAGGATTCTGTCCGAACAGTTTCGTAACTGTCTGGAGTCGCACGGTTGGATTTCGCTGCAATAAGGGAATGTACCCCTTAGAGTACATGGCTAGCTAGGTCGATTGGTATTCCCTTGTAATCTTATTTATATCCCTTGTATTGCATGTTTTTATTATCTCAAGCATTTACATTCACTCTGCTATTGAGGTCAAGGGCCCACCACTAGATTAGGACTGTGCGAACCTTCCTGAGGTGATCCTGATCAACTTTTGATCGCAACATGGTATGAGAGCGACTCAGGAATCCTTCGCACCGCCACCACCGAAATCTTCGGCGAACGGAAAGTGGCGTCCGGCACACGCTCACGTGTGAGAATGGCCGGAGGATCTGGAGGTCAGACGAATCTGACGGCTGAAGCGCAGACTAATCCAGCTGCGACAAACGAGGAAACGACGACAATCCCTTCCGTCGTCCTCGCACAACTGCTTCAGCGACTCACGAGCCTGGAGCAAGGGCTCCAAACATTGCGGAATGGCGATGCGGTAACATCTTCCCAACCCACTCAACCGGCCTCGAATGGCCAGAACTCCGCCCCGCAAGGCTTCTCTCTTGACACAAACGGCTCAACACCCAAGACTCCCTGTCCCAGCGATGAAGCAATTCTCTCTGCGCAATCAAGGTTTTTGAGCAAGTGTGTGCTTTGACGGCAGAGACTTCTATACCTGGAGCTTCGAGCTGGAGCTGCTGCTGCAAAACGCGCAGATTTTTCACTACTTTGACGGGAGCTACTCGGGACCCACGGAGGAAACTGACGACGCAAAAATCAAGTACTACAACGAGTCCCTGATGGCGTACGGGGTTCTTCTTCGAAATATGTCGCCGACGGAGCAATTGAGCATACGCTCATACAAAACCTCGCCTGCTCCAGCTCTCAACGCCTGGCGCCACCTGAATGGTGTGTATCAACCGAAGGACTCGGTGTCGTCGAACCGTCTACTCCAGCAGCTACTGGAGACCAAAATGGCACCAGGAGAGAAGGCCAACAGTTACCTGAATCGCTGTCGGAGCCTACGCGATCAAATCGCGAAACTGGGGAGCACGATTTCTGAGGAAATCTTCGCAAATATCGTGCTCCAAGGGCTCGGCCCCGAGTGGCGGCCCTGCAAGGCGCTTCTCCGACAGCAGTGGGTCATCTCGGAGGCCGCCCTTTGCGCCGCCCTCCTCGTCGAACAACGGGATATGGATCAGCAGCGACCAGCGCCGCGACGAGACAGGGAACGCCTCGCCTTCTACGCCGACAACACGGAAGAGCGACGGCCGCGGCGCATCTACTGCAAAATCTGCAGGAATTTCGGGCACCTGGCGGACCGATGCAAGCATCGATCTCGCCCTCGTCAGACCAATCCGAGCAACTGGTCCGGCCGACAAGACGCAAGGAACGACACGCGTCCCGCCCAGGGGTATCAACCCCCATCGCGTAACCTGAACCCGACAGTTCAGCAGCAGCAGCAGCCATCACAGGCTGCCCCCGTCCGCAATGTCATGGGGAACATGACCATGACGAGCGGCTCTCGTCGCCCGCGCGCACGCTCACTATCACCCGAGCTGGCGCCTGACCCAATCGGAGCGTCCTCGAACAACAACCCGTTCAGCACGCATCACGACTTCAGCGACGATGACAAACAGGACTGGAATCTCCCAGTCCCGCTGCTTGAGAGCCCCCCGCACGTACCAGACACGCGGCCGGCACCGATCGATTGGATCGCACGCGAACAGTTTTTAAAGGTCGACACTCCACACATCGTCACTCCGCGACTGGCGCTGCTCGCGCAGGCGCTACAACACATGGTACCTGGACAGCTGCTGTGGGCAGCATATGGTGGGCTCTGAGCGTTACATATCCAACGCCGTCGCCACCCCCGCCGTCACTTACGTCACTGTGGCGAACAACACGCGGCTGCGCGCAAGCGCGCAAGGCATTGTTGTGCTCAAGGTGTTATAGTCACAATAGGCTTGAATGTGCCTAAAACGAAAGATAGAGAGCACAGCTTCAAACGTTGATAGCGTTCTGCTCATAGCTGCAAATGACTTGATTCAAATTGGATCTGGAGCGTTTTCACGTCGTCTACAATTAGCAATTTAGATTGCACGATTTGATAAAGAATTGACGACACAGCGTCGGTTTGAACGAACGGTACTATGGCAGCCACTATAGTCTTAGAACACAAGATAGGAAGAGTTACGAGTTGGGAATGACTCCCAGCTCCTACAAACCCCAAGGGCCGAGGTACAGTGATGTGGAACAGTGCCACACTGTCCCCAACCACGAAGGGTCTCGAAACTACCCTTCACTAGGGCCTACACCAAGTGAAATGTTACACTACACAAAGTAATGTAACTATCTTCAATATCTTGAGGTGTACCCTTTTGGCAAGCTTCGAAATCACTTGAGGCTTGACACCAAGGCTCGGGCTCTTCATCACAAACTCATCCTTGAGTTCTTGATGGGTCTGCTGCACACACCTGCGACACGCCGAACGTTCGGCACAGGACAAAATAGAAACCGCGCACGACAAAATAGAAACCGCGCGCGAGACACAAACGACCGCGTAACACGCGTCTAGCGATAACTCGCTATTGACTCGACACACACACTCGACATCATGACTCAACATTCACACACAATTATAAGCATGAAATATATATTATCCCATGCCCTCATACCATTCCATACACACACACATTCACGCACACGGACAACAAGCCGAGTGCAAACCGTAGGGTTGCACCAACAAACTCCCCCTCGGATTGTTGGCCTTAGGATATGTTGCTCTCTCAGTTCAGAGCCATCCCAGCCAGCTTGCAACACTTCCAATGCTGCTGCTCCACCAGCCTCTTGGTCATCATGTCAGCCGGTTGCCCCGTGGTCTTCACGTAGCGCAACTCAACTTCACCCGCGGTTACCATGCTCCTCGTCCAATGCCACTTCACCCTCATGTGCTTCGTGAGTCCATGCAACACAGGGTTCTTAGCAAGAGCAATGGCACCCTGGCTGTCACAGTACAGTGGGGTAGGTCCTTGCTGCTCCTCCCCCAATTCAGCCAACAAACGCCGCTGCCACACAATCTCCCGTACGGCACGGAAGAGTGCCATGTACTCGGACTCCACCGAGCTCAAAATTTGGTCAACCTGCTTCTTGCTCTCCCAAGCAGTTGGGCCTCCACCAACACAGCATATGAAGCCTCCCACACTTGTCATGTCCTCTGGTTCTGATGCATATGAAGCATCCGAGTAGGCGGTGAGGAACAAACGCCCGGGTTCAACACCATCCGCGCCCTTTTGGCGCCTTTGTGCCGCCGCCGAGTATTGCAGCCCAACGGTCGGTGTTTGGCCAAGATACTTGGCCACCCTCATTCCAGCTGCTACCTGCTCCTCATTAGGGCATTGCACAACCCTAGCCAGCTGCCCGGTAGCAAACGCGACGTCCGATCGGGTGTTTACCGCCGCATACATGAGGCTGCCCACCAACGAGTGAAATCGGCGCCTCTCCTCTTCACCAACGCTCTCCTCCTCTGGTCCCTTCACACACTTGAACCCAGAGGGAAAGGGTGTAGCCACATGGCCTTCACTCTGCCCAAAGTTGGCAGCCAATGCCTCCAGGTACTTTCGTTGATGCACCCGCATGCACCGCTTCTCCACATCTCGTTCGATGTGGAGCCCAAGGTAGAAGCTCACGTCACCAAGGGCCTTGCACTTGAACTTGTCTTGAAGCTTCAGCATCACCTCCTTCACAAGGTCAGAAGAGGGTGAGAAAATGAGGATGTCATCCACATAAACCACCATGAAACTCCTCTGCTCCCCCTCGCCAAGCATGAACAAGGAGTGATCGGCCGTTGAGGGAGTGAAGCCGATCCCCTCCAACACTTCGCGCAGCTTCATGTACCATTGCCTAGGGGCCTGCTTCAGCCCATAGAGGGCCTTCTTCAGCTTCCACACT